GCACTTGTTTCTAATAGCTTCTTGTTACTACTAGTAAGGCACTTGTTACCAGTAGCGATGCACTTGTTTCTAATAGCTTCTTGTTACTACTAGTAAGGCACTTGTTACTAGTAGCGATGCACTTGTTTCTAATAGCTTCTTGTTACTACTAGTAAGGCACTTGTTACTAGTAGCGATGCACTTGTTCCTAGTAGCGTCCGATTGCTCCTAGTAGCGATGCCCTTGCTCCTAGCAGCTTTCTTGTTACTACTAGTAAGGCACTTGTTACTAGTAGCGATGCACTTGTTCCTAGTAGCGTCCTCTTGCTCCTAGTAGCGATGCCCTTGCTCCTAGCAGCTTTCTTGTTACTACTAGTAAGGCACTTGTTACTAGTAGCGATGCACTTGTTCCTAGTAGCTTTCTTGTGGCCTTGGTATCTGTGGAATGACGGGCACCGAAGATTCTGTGCAAGGGCGGCAGGAGACTGCTCACCAGTACTGGTTTGCTTTCTGGAAGAGGCTTGTACAGGTAATTGGTCTTCAAAAACCTATGAACCCCGGACCCAAAGCTACTCAGATTGTGTGGGGGGATGCAGACTTCCGAACACAAATACACGTCTCTCGATCCCAACATATGCCCACATAGGCGCTATATAGGATAATGGTCGGTCTTTTAATCAAGGCAATGACCTTTGTGGTCCAACCCCGAACAAGCTGACATTCCATCTGTTTGAGTGGAAGCTACAGTGTCGTGTGATTTCCTGCTCTAATTACATGCACAGCACTACAACATGCTAGTGCCACGTTTTTGAGCTCCAGCCGACCTTGAACGAAGTTGATGGCCAACCAAAGCAATCTGAATCTGAATCTGACCATCCGACCCATCGTTGTTCGCATCAAGCCACCTGTTGCTGCAGCAACTGGCCGAAGTGTTCCAGCGCGCTGGCCGAGTGTCGACTGCCCGAGGCCCAGAACTCCGACCACGTCGTCGAAGCCGCACTGGATGCCGCCGTGGCCGCTGTTTCCGCCTGGTCGACCTGGATGTTTTGGTCCAAAGATCCGGAGAGCAGAGAGATGCGGAGGGAACCGGAGGGAATGAGATTGGATGTTGATTTACCTTCCAGAATCACTGAACTTGGAAGGTCAGTGTATGCGTCTCCATGACTTGTCTTGGGACATATTCGTTTGAGACTCTAAGAGGGATTTGATGCTGGTATGAACCAACTCGGTGTTAAACTTATGTCCCTTAGAATTTGCACAAAGTCCACATGCACCAGTGCAGTGGAGGGGAACGTCTGACCCAGGGGTTGAAGACCGGAAAGTCAAGTTGCTTCTCAAAATCTTCGCAAGGATTGCTTTGACATCCAAAGACGGATCATCTCAGCTCTCTGTAAATCCAAACGCGCGTGATCTTTACTAGTAACGTTTGCATCGCTACTAGTAACAAGAAGCTACTAGTAGCAGTAGCGATGCACTTAGCTACGTTCGTAGTAATGCCCTTGTTACGTTCGTGGCGTTTCGCATTGTCCGCCTCCAGTTTGGGGTCTTGGACCCCACGGTCACTCGTCGCCTTAGGCTCCTTCGGTTCCATCAAGTCGCCTTGGGCGTAGCGAAGCACATCGGGTGCACTTGGGTTGGTTCTGCTTGAGTTGGGAAACCCTGATGCAGAACCAACTCAAGCCGAACCACATCGGTGAACCTTTTTCGTTTCATGATCTGGGAGGAAGTGTTCAAGGTTTTAGACTGTACCCAAGGGGGTGCTTCACCGGGTTCCGATGTGCAACTCGTGCACTTCTGTCAAAGCCTTCAGCATGGAGCTCTCCTCCATGCATCAAAAGATGCTCGAAGATGCACGCACCAGGAACATTGACCTATCTACTCAAAATCTCAAGAGGCACGCAACGATGCACGCAACTTCTTCCATGGTCCTTGCTTGCCGAGGCAGGTCCCTGCTTCACAGGATTCACGTGGATTCAGCCCCTTCCCACTTCCCGCACCCATAGCGATGCCCTTACTAGTAGCGTCCTCTTGCTCCGTTCGTAGTAAGGCCAGGAGCCCCTAATTAGCAGCGTCTGATTGCTCCGCAACTCGTCGCGATGCCCTGACATGCTCCGGACTCGTCGCCATGGCACCCATACTCAGCAGCGCATCATCGACCAGGCCTCCCACCACCGCCGACGCTCTCCGCGCCGCCGCCATCGCCACGGTCGCCGCCGCCTCCACCGAAGCCGCGGTCGTCGCGGTCGTTGCGGTCGTCGCGGTCACTGCGGTGTCGGCGGCCAGGGAAGGGATCTCTTCCAGCGGCTTGAAGCCTCGCAAGTGGAGGGATCTTCCACGGATTTCTATCAGGATTTGGGACTGGAAGTGTGGGTGGGGCCCAAAGAAACGGGATCTGTCATAGAATCTATGAACTTCTTTCCAGCTGTGAAGGCAGGTTGTTCTTTGGTGAGGCACAGGTTGAACCACCTGGTGTGCCCCCCAGTGATTGAGGAGCACGCCAGCGCCAGCAGGCCCATGCTTTCGGCCGCTACAGGCCGGATTTTTTCGGCCGGTCCAAAGACTAACTGGTCATCTCATGGAAAACACACTCACAATCCCACGTCCCTTTGCAACACATGTTCACATATCTTCATCATCGTCCCTCATCTGCAAGTAGGAATCCACACATCCTGCTTGACACTCCCCGGGTCCAACATGCCATGCCGCCATGCCGCTGGCTGTGGCCGACCGGCGTGTGCCGGTCGACCCACGGCTGGACGTCTTCGAGCTTCGCCTGCTCGAACCGTCTGCGCCACTCCAAAGCCTAGGGCATCGCTAGGAACGGAGCAAGAAACTACTAGCTCCTGGCCTGACTACGAACGGAGCAAGGACACTATGCTCGGTGGAGGCCATCGCAAGTAGTTTGGAGGCCATCGCTACTAGTAACACTAGGTGTAGCATTCAATTTCTTGTCTTTTCTCCCCCCATACATAGCCATACCACTAGTGCCACTAGCCATGCAATGAAGCAACACCCAAAGAAGCAAGGCATAGCCAAGGAACACACCAGTTGGTGGTTTTGGACCCCAAAAGGACCCATGGCTGCCCCGTTGGTTTCAACCTGTTTCAGCAGGTTCCATGTCTTCTTTGGAGGTTCTGAGTCGTGTCCACGAGTGACTTGATCACCTCAAGTCCAAATGGAGGGGTGTTTTCTGAGAGGTCTTCAGGACCTCTCCGTGGGGGGGGGAAACACGGGCCGTGCTGGACTCGTTGGATCCCGAACGGACACTGCGTGGAACGCACGGACAGGCGAAGGAATTGGAGATTGGGAAGGTGTCCATGCAGTGCGTGGCTTATGTTTGCACAAGCGATGATCATTCAACCGTCGCGACCTCCAGAGAGTGTAGCCGATTCTGCTCCTCATCTTCTCAAGGACACCCGGTTGCTTCATGGAAACCCCGCAAAGCGAGTTCGGAACATAGGGAAAGAACAAATGTTCGAATCCCAACCAAAACACCTTGACCGTTGACATCCGTTGAACACCACGGTGTTTTCTTTGCCTCGGCCAAGCAACTCTGAGCGCTCGGATGGGCTATGGAGCCACAAATCTTGCCGCAGTTGCAGCACCTGCGCCGCGAGGCAACGGTGGTGGCCGTGCACCTGTGAGAAAACACATCTTCGGAGGTTGGAGCACGAGGTCTGTCTGGGTTTCAAGGATTCTATTTTCTATTTTTAAATGACCTTTTGGTATCTTTTGGTATAGCTAGTGAAATCCTTTTAAACAAAAATGCTGTGAGCTTCCAAATGGATGGACATGCCCTCTGAGGTGAGATCGATCCGCAAACCAATTCGAGTACGAAGCAAGGTATAGTCATATTTAAGACAGAAACTTGAAACGGAGGAGGGCTTTCATAGAGCATTTACAGGATCAAACGGTACACATCCCCTCAACACTCTGTTCATACGCCTCGGTGCTGAGCGCCGTGGTCTTCTGTCGTGTCTTCTCTTCCTGGAGCTGCTCTGGGTGCTGGAGGAATCTCGGTGACATGTCTCCAAACATATTAAGAGGAAGGTGTATAGAAGTGTTTCTTGTCATCCCATGGCAAATCAATGATTGAACAATGTGTGGTAGTCTTATTCCATCTTCCCTTTCACTCAGATCTTTTCACTCCATCCTCTTTTAAGACACAAAAACATCGCTAGGTCCAGACCCTCCACTCCCAGATCTTCCTCCCCTTCTCCCACAACTCCACTCGCTCTCCTCACGGTGCAACTCTTCCTGAAGCAGCTGGTTGGCCTCCACCAGCCCTCGAAGCTTAGCCTCCAGCGCCGACAGCAGTGCCCGATCCTCGAGATCGGGGCATCGCTACGAACGGAGCAAGGCCGCTACGATCGGGGCGCTCCTGGTATTACTAGTAGCAAGAAGCTAGTAGAAACAAGTGCATCGCTACTAGGAGCAAGGACGCTATTAGGGGCGCTCCTGGTATTACTAGTAGCAAGAAGCTAGTAGAAACAAGTGCATCGCTACTAGGAGCAAGGACGCTATTAGGGGCGCTCCTGGTATTACTAGTAGCAAGAAGCTAGTAGAAACAAGTGCATCGCTACTAGGAGCAAGGATGCTATTAGGGGCGCTCCTGGTATTACTAGTAGCAAGAAGCTACATTACTACCAGTAGCTGGAAGCTACTGGATGGGTTTGCTTCAGCATTCGGGTCATGGTCTTGGGGTCGATGCTTGCCGAGCAGTGTCCAAGACGGGAACACTTTGGAACTGTAGTTAGTTACTTTATATTTGAAACTGTGGGTATATCTATATCTATAATATAGTATCTTCTGGCAAAACAAAACAACACACAACCAACGATGTGCAATGTGAAGGTGACACCCACATAAGGAAGATTCATTTGATTACTATGCCATACTATGATTATGCCGTTTCTGTGCAATATCCGGGCTTGCAGAAAACTCTCAAGTCATGCTAATCCATTCCCATGGCCGGCAAAAGAATCAATGACCAAACAATCGTCGCAGCAGGGAATGAACTGGACTATTTTCTTGAATATATTAACAAATTGCAACGAATTTGTGTTTACATGTGTTTACTGGGTCTTTTAGTACGTAGTGCTTTGGCTATGTCATATTGCTTTCTTGGCTTTCCCATCGGCGAGGCGAACGCCTGCTGAGACTCGCGCGACAAACCAGCCATCAATTGCACTATTTGTCTATCAGCTATGGAATACATGGAACAAGAACCAGCGCTCTTCGACCTTCCATTTGCACAGGGCTTTCAATCCCCCATCCCAACCCAACCCATCCCACGATCCGCTCCGCGCCCTCCGCCGTGTCCTGCTCCTTCACTTCCTTCAGCTCCGAGTTCCACGTCCGTTCCTGGGCGGAACGAAAGAAGCGCCCTGGCGCGATGGACAAAACGACAGGAGCTGAGGCTGAAGGAATGTCGAAGTGATTCTTTTTGTTGCTTTCATTAATTTTTCAACGGATTCGCATGGATGAAAACACGGATCTTGACACGGCTGCTTTGTAGAGCAGGCTCCCATGATCCAAGCTGTCTAATTGTACTGTCTTGCATGTGCGGGATGGTCAAGACATGTCAAGATCTTCAACATCTAGCCTTCCATTCTCATTCATGCCAGTCAATGTTGTACGAATTCAAACATCATAGGCTTGTCCCGCTATTAACCAGAAGTCAAATAGGTACATTAGGGGCACCTGACAACGCTGGACAAACATCAGCAGAACCATCTACCTCCTCTGCCTCAGCCACCAGCACCTGGCCTCCAGGTGCCATCGGGCCTCTTGCGCTTCTTCGGTCGCCTTCACCTTAGCGATTTGACTTGTTGACGGTCCTATGGAGAACCTGAGCAACGTATACACTTCAGGAGGAAGACAGGTTTTTCCTATGGTGATAAGAAGACGATACTTTGTTCTAGTGGTGAATTTTATTTCTAGGTGTTGTTTTGGCACTTGAACACTTGGACTTGTTCTAGGTTCTATATATACTTTCTTGTTTTGGCGCTGTCCTAGAATAGGTACCTCTCCCCAACCCAACATGGCCTCTGCATGACTTGTGGTCTGCTTGCTCTTCTATACCAGGAATAATGGGCAACTTTATCAAGACTCCTTCTTTAGATGGTCCTTCATCAAGCCAAGGACATGCAAGAATTGATTTTAGCATAAACACCCATGGTGAATTTCTAGCCTGTTAACTCTTGGAACCCTACTGTTGCTAATGGGGCTGCCGAACTGCCCAAGTCAGCACCTCTTGCAAGAATCATGGGACCGTTTTACTGACCGTTTATGGGGAACATAATGGCCATGGCAACTGTGTTTGTTCCCCAATACTTTTCTCTTGAGGATTGGTGGCACACATCCACATGAATTCCCTGCCGACACTGACACTGAGACAAACCCTCCAGTGAAGTTTCCAAAGGACAGACTTACTGTATTAAAGAAGCTACTAGTAACAAGTGCCTCGCTAGTAGTAACAAGTGCCTTACTAGTAGTAACAAGAAACTATTAGAAACAAGTGCCTTACTAGTAGGAGCAAGAAGCTATTAGGAACAAGTGCATCGCTTATAGTTTCCAAAGGACAGACTTACTGTATTAAAGAATAGAATACTACCACTTCTCTCGACTTCTCTTTCCAAATGACCACATGCATCCGACTTTCTCCACATCCTCCCACCCGTGCTCCATCCTCACCCATCCTTTACTCCTTCACACCCACCTCAGCCCACCCCAGGCCTCTCCCAGCTCGCTTCGCAAGGCCTCAGCACCCTCCGCCGCGCCATGGAGCTCCCTTCGTCCGCGGCTCTTCGGGCTACGCCCGCTGCGGAGCTGCGATTCCATCTCCTGGGGCGCGGAAACGGCCAAGGAGAACACCTGAAGATGGCCTCCAACCCAACGGCCTCCAGTGGACTCGTATATATATATATATATCTGTGTGTTCTCATCCTTTTTCGTCAATTGGTTCGTCCAAACCACACCACCAAAGATCAGATGCCGCCACCGGCCGTGAGCGTAGTGCCTCCAGCTCGTTGGCCAAAAACTGATTCTGCTGCTCCAGCTGTTGTAGCTTGGACCTGGCTCCAGTCCACACGCAGTCTCGATTGGTCAACACTGACCTTTTTTTTCTCCGGATTCCGGAGGCCTGTTGCATTTGTGTTGTTCGAACGGATCATCTTGAATCTTGATCAACCCTCCGAACGATATGGACATAAGACCTTCCAACAATGTTAATTAACCGCAAAGTATATGGCACGAACATAACTTTGGCACCTCGTCCAAGCAATTCAGGTCTCTGTGAGAAGCGCAGAATCTGCGCGTTCTGACAGTGGTCGGACCAGGTCCCCCGACACTCTCAAGGGATCAAGCGTGGTAGTCTCCTCTCCTGACATATCGAAGTCAGGATGAAGGAGGTTTTGAAGGAGAAACAAACAGGCAACATCAGGTAAACATTGATGTACTTTTCTCGAGTTCGACGCGTTCAGAAACTGCATGCTGGGAACAGAACAGGTTCTCTTTAAAAAAAACCACCTCATGGAGAAACAGTGTGTTCTTTTTTATACACTGGTCTTTATTGAAAGCATGTCAACTGCTTTCTCAACGAAGAGGTGATTCGGTACAATTCGGTACACCCCAAATCCCCGGTGAACAACCTCCCCCCACTACTTCAGGGTCAAACAAACCCGAAGGCAGCAATTGTTCAAAACGTTGATGCTCAAAGGTTGCAATTGGTCGACTTTTCTTGTGAAACAATCTAGTGCGGAAACATCAACCTACAGTGGCTGCAAAGCTGCAGCATTCGCAGGGTCCGACCCCTCTGAGCACCCAGCTGGATTCCAGTTCTTGGTGACATTCTTCCTGAACACAGGTTGGAAACTGTGAGGACCAATCAGTTTTTGGTGCTGGAAGCCGCGACATCGATGAAGTTAGGTATACGTGCCATAGATGGCCGTGTGTTTTGGATTGTTTTGGTGCTCTTGTACACGATCCCTTTGCTTCAATATTCGCAGGGCCAGCGGGGAGAAATTCGAAGGTGTGAAGGGTATGATTAAATATGGCCCCTGACTAAGGATAAGACAACAGTGTCCAAAACACCTCAGAATTCCGGTTCAGAACTAGCTCTTCACACCCCCAGAAACGAACGACACCTCAGAATTACAGTTGTCATCCCGGACATAGGTGCTAGAAACTCTTTCAACGACCTCCAAGATCTATCAATTGTTTTGGTACCTGCCAAAGGGCTCACAGAGGTTCCGTGGTTTTCGGGGACAGTGCGTGTGAACTGCTTGCCCTGGTGTGTCACCTGTGCCACACGGATGCCCAATCTATTACACCAACACGAAAAAACTCGGGGATCCGGAAACGAAAGCCATTGGTCTGTTTCTGAAAGTCTCAACAGCAACACTTCAACAACGGGCAACCAAACTGTTCAAAAATAACTCTCTCATGAAGTTGTGTTTCTATATCATGAACCAAAAAAGCTGCAGTGCAATGCTCATCGAGGCCCAACCCCCAAAACCAACATGTAAAACCTCACTGACACCGTCCAGAAACCCACAAATCAGACCGTAACCATGACCCATAACGTCATTACGTCATTACCATAACGCCATTGCTCATTACCACAATGTCATTGCGTCGTTGCCATAGCGTCATTTCCCCCCCAACCCGTCCCCCAGCCATGTGTGTGGTTGTGTGTCTGTGATGTCATGGTGAAGCACACGCATGTGTATGAAGCAAAAAACCACGTAAAAAAGTGCTCCAACATCATATTACTGGCGACCCCCATGAGAAATCGTGGGGATCATCTGTGGACAAAGAAACTCCTGCGAGTGAATGCGCGCTGGAAATTCCCAATCCTCATCACAGCCAAATCCAATGGGATATTCATTGATGTAACTGCATGGAAGTTCGTTCGAATTTTGTGTTCGGGAGGCTCCCCAAACGCTGAAGAAGTGCTAAGGATTCATGACACTTCCCCATAAGCTCAGTGGGTGTCTTTTGCGGGAAGTTCCCCATGGAATGGTTCACCATGCGCATTGAATCCCTGGCCACTGGCGTGTCGTAGCGGTGTGCCATCTTTTTTCACCCACAGGTTTGAAATAGTATGTAAATAGACAAGATTATATATAGCATATATTCGGATTCCGCTAGGGGATGATTCATCTTGGGCAATTTCACAGTATATATGTCGTGTCAAGGCATCCAAAGGTCTACATCTGCTCCATCCAAAAGGTCTGCGTTGGCGCAGCAGGTCGCGTCAGGACTTCTTTACATTGCAAAGTCTGTCTAGTGGTCAGGGCACACGATGCTCAACAAAGCCGCGATCCCTATTTCAGAAGCTAGCCGATCTGTGCTTTAGAATTTCTTCAGGAAGGGAGGCAAGAGAGACAAGTAGTACGTCCGAGAGGAAGCCTTCGTACTTTTGCATGAAGGTACGGCATAGAGATCTATTGAATTGCCAAAGGCATGGCTCTGCCACAAGCTGATGCTACAGGAGATGCAGATTGTCATGGCCACAAAATGATGCAGTCGAGGGCAACATCAGGATCGTCGTGTTCCTCCTCATCTTCATCTACATCATCTCCTCCAAAGGCAACAAGTTCAAATCCGACAAGGTCAAAAAACAACCTCTGAGGGACGATGAACGGCAACTCTTGAAGGAACTACTGGAAGCCACTGAGGCAGAAAGCGACCAGCTGAAAGCGGAGAACCAGTTCTGCGCAGTGAGTTGGAGAGTTTCACGTAAGAATCTGACATCTGAGCTGCCTTCCGGCAGCAGAATATTACCCAGTCGGCTCATCAGGATTATATACAATATTATACTTACATAATATTCAAGCTTAATACGTAGTTGCTCGTTACATATATCATATCATTCTTATTTTAATTAATATATTTACACACACAATACCAAATTCACCCCCCCCTAAACCCGGATGATCCTGGATTCGACCTTCCTTTTCAAACGACCAAACCATGTAGGACTGCACTGAAGTGACATCCCTAATAGCTTCTTGCTCCGTTCGTAGCGATGCCAGGAGCCCCTACTGTCAAGTAAGGTGGCCCTTTGCTCCTAGTAGCCTTCTTGTTGCTAGTAGTAAGGCACTTGTTACTACTAGTAAGGCACTTGTTCCTAATAGCTTCTTGTTACTACTAGTAAGATCCCAAGCGTCCAACGAACGTCTCAAGGCATCTTCCTCCAACAGCAGCTCCTGCCGAGCGGAGACGTCACGTGGAGCGTAGAGCGTCACGCGGCGCGCCGACTTTTTTTGCCGCGCAGCGGCTGTGTTGGGACGAACAGTCACCCCCGCCCAAAGACGTGAAACATGGGGCGTTCACACAGGAAAACCATGTGTTTTTTAGGTAAGTTGTTTGGGGGGCCCCTAGCATACAGAGACATCTAAGGCCCATATTACTCTTTGATGATGAAACGGGAACCCTTCTTCTAAGTATGAAAGCAGTGTTTTCCTGCAGAAAGTACAATAAAGGAAAGAGTGCGTTTGTCCAACAGGTGCTTTGCAATGTTTTGGACAACCTCGTCTTTGCACTACCAGGCCACCTCAAGCTGCTACCCAGGTTGTAAAGGTTTTGTACGCAGCTTGTGTGACTTGTTTCTGACATCTCACAAGAAGTGCTGCATTCCACCCACAGGATAACCAAAAACACACCTGACACAGCACCTGAAGTGAGCTCGTAGATCTATATTTTCCTAGAGGCTCTTTTTCTCATGGATGGAATCTGGACCCAGTCACCAAAGCTCCGTCGCCGTCCTGTCCATCGACAGCCAAGTGCTGAAGCTGAAGCTTCTTCTGCTCCAACTGCTGCCGCACTTCCTCCCATGTCGCCCGCAGGGCACTCGCCTCATGTGGTCGTCTGAGACGGTCAACGGGGTGTCAAATATCTGTGAAAAGTACCCCATGAAAATCATGACTTGATGAGATTTTATGGGTCCTTCAGAACTTCATGAGTAAAGAGTAAAGTCGTTAGATGTCCTTAGCACCAAAAAGCCTGGTTTCGTGAAAAAGTTTTGAACGCCTCGAACTGTTGGCCCAGCCTGTGACATCGAGCGAAAGCAAGCAACCATCTGTCCATCCAGTCAAGCCTCCTGACTAAATCGTTTTGGAGGTTCCTATGCTGGTAGCTGTTGATATCAACTTCATGGGAGAACATTCCTCGGTGTCCAACACCAGTTCACCATCAAGAACACCGTTTCTTCAAACAAATCCCATGCTTTCAAGCTCCTACCAACATATGGCACCCTGAATCAACATGAGATTCAATATATGGCGTGGCTCGTTCCACCCGCCCCAAAGGGCCCTGCGCACCTCGGGGACCTCCTCAGCCCCACGGGCCATGGCGGGCGAGCGACTTCACCACGTAGGCGGGTGCTTCACGTTTTGTGCTTGTTCCTAGTAGCTACTTGCTCCTAAAAGCGATGCCAGGAGCCCCTAGTAGCGTCCTTGCTCCTAGTAGTACGGCCACGAGCCCCGTTCGTAGCGTCCGATCCCTCCGTAACATTGTTACTAGTTCAAAGATGTGAACAACCAAACGTGGCGAAACTCTTTTGTTTTCTGCAGCGACTTCGGCTTCCAATTTGGTTACAGAATTCCCTGTCAAGTCTCCCAAAGCCCAGTCGAGTCGGTCTCATCACCAAATTGATTTTGAACTGCAGTTTCATTGAGTTCTAGGGCATTGCTGGCATCGGCAGTGCTCTGGAGATCGATAGAGGGCAATGTTTTCTTTCATTCTGCCGGTCTTGAATTTAATTGGAGAGTTGGTTCAACCGAGAATCACATCTAAAAGTTGGTATGGACCAAATGCATCTGGGTGTCAAAAGGCCAAGGGGCTGATTTACACCTCGCATTGAGACTAGCTGACTCCGGCACCTGAGGCTATCATGGCATGGCCAAAGCAGTGCAATTCGCCGAGATGTTTCATCACCACTCGCACCGCGAAGAAGAAACACATGCCAGCTTTTGGGTGTCCAAATGTTTCCTTCAGCAACAAACACATCACAACAGATGACACACCCAGTTTCCCACTCGACCACAACAGCTTCCGCTTCCTAAGCAGTGACCAAGTTCGGTGGCACGTCGAGCCTAAAAATGGGATCGGCACGAAGAACCGTTCAGCCATGTGGGACGAGGTCCCAGACGCCTCTCGTCAGATTTCACGTCACAAATCTGGTCTTTCTGGGGTCAAGTAAAAGAAGCTTCCCTTCCACGGCCACAAAACGCTGCAAGTTCCAATGTTCCCGTTCGCCAAACGAATGGGACATGGGGCAGCCCCATGGGGCTTTGTATCTCGTCCCATGCGTCTGGTCTAGGGTCGTTCAACTGCGAAAGACCGGGACAATGGCCAATAAAGAGAGACTGGGCAAAAGTTCAAGTCAAGATCAAAACCTCTGCCAAATCAAGATAGCAACCAAGAGAGTGGCGTTGGAAGAGAACATCTTTGCTCCAAATGCCAGTCAGATCTATAGAATCTAGTCTAGCAGTTTGTATATGTTTGTATTCGACACATCCGCAAATGCAAATCAAAAGAAACCACTACGCCACGATGGAAGCTTCAACTGTTTCTCTTTTTTGCGAGGGCGAGATAATGTCAGTGATGTCTCATTGGCTAATTACCGCATTTTTCAGGCAGGCAGCTTGTAGTAAGCTCCTGGGCCAAGGAGCTAATTGATGTTCAACATGTTCAAATTGTTCAAGGTATGAACAAACTCTCACAACAGTTTGGATGCCTTGCATTGGGCCTCATGGAATTCGGAATGGGCGCATCAGTGGGGAGGACGCCAATCCCGGCCATTCGCAGAACTTGATTCCTAAGTGAGAGGGTACCTCAAACAAATCCGATCAGCTGCGTGGTTATCCTCATCATCGTCCTGGAGAGAACAAATATACTACGACTACGACTACACCTTGAATTTGAATTTGCAACACTTTTCCTGATCCTCAAACACACCTAGAGGGAGACTCATCAAACTCATGCCTAGACTGCTTTTGCAATGTCGTCCTTTTGGTCTGTTAGGGGTCCGTTGCAAATCTGTGATGGCTCCGCAGCCATCACAAAGCATCCTGGGATGGTCTTCTGAGGATGTTTTTTTTGATCGGAATATACACTCTTCAAGAGGTCTTTGAGTGCTTTGAAAGAACACACATGATGAACGCATGATGAATGCTAGCACGGACATGTCAACTGGTGGCTTCAAGGATCAATTTTAAACATCATGATCGAACGACCAACACCAAGAAACATAACAAATGGTTAGTTGGCTGTCCATGGTTGTCCCAAAAGAAGGCAGAGTTTGCTTTTCCATTGTGGCATTGATTCTGTTCGTCAAAAAGACTGTGAGCGATCAACACAGTCTTACCTTTTCCCGCTCCCGGTTGGAGGCCGCTAGTAACAAGGGCATCGCTACTAGGAGCAAGGACACTTCTAGTAGCTCCTGGCACTACTAGGAACAAGAAGCTAGTAGAAACAAGTGCATCGCTACTAGGAACAAGGACGCTAGTAGCAACAAGGCCATCCCAAACACAAGGACCGCTCCTCTGCCGTCCCCAGGACAGGCCTCCGGTGATCCAACAGGACAAGCGGTCCGGCGACTCGACGGCAAATCAACATGGACATTCCAAATGACATCCTATGACATTCACACCTTCCAGGCGGAGCTCGCCACGTAGGGCGAGCTCGCCACGTAGGGCGAGCTTGCCACGTAGGGCGCCGCCATGGCGGTGCCCGTTGTGACCGTCACCGGCTGCGGGTCGCCTACGACCTGGTCGGAAACCGGGCGGCTGGAAGTGGAGGATTGGTTTGCTCAGCCGGTCGGCCATGGGAGTGACGAAAAGGAATGAACATTTCGGACAAAAACTGCTCTACTTCCAGTGATCCGCAGGGCACATGTATTGACAGAGCTATTGACAGGAGCCCCTAGTAGCTTCTTGTTGCTAGTAGTAAGGCCAGGAGCCGGCGGTTACAGCGGGTTGTTGCCAGCCTTGGCGCGTGTCTGCCAGAGTCTGAATATGGGTTTTGAACAAGTTTGTGGATCTTTGACCAGCATATTCAGGTCTCTGATAAAGTTGTGGACATGTAATTTTGCCGAGGACCTACACCTGTTCTGTACTGAGAAAATCTGAGAAACATCTTCTGCCTGGCACGCAAGGAATCCGAAAAATCCACCGGAGATTCCTTTTTCACCAAGAGTACAGTCATCAATCGTGAATGTTAATCCCCTACTAAATTGGCAATGGGAGGGTTACTTTGTGGCTTAGGCCATGCATGGATGTGGCATTGAGAAAATGAAAGAACATGGAAAGGCAAGACACCCAGCTTTCGCATATTTGGATTTTGGACATGCTGTTCACAGTGTTCCCCCGATGACCTGAGAAACGACATGAATCATGAGCATACTAGGAGCAAGGACGCTACGATCGGGGCTCCTGGCCTTACTACTACTAGGAATCTGCATGACTATCATCCCAGATGCATCGCCCACTTCGGACGCCTGGCGATCCTGCACCAAACCAGCGGCCTCCGACCCAGCGCGACGCGGAATCCAACGGTTGCGTGGACGGTTCTGCCGACGGTTCAACCGGTGAATGCGGAATCCAACGGCCTCTCGATCCGACGGTTCTTCCGGCACGATGCCTGAACACGTCGACGCCCAAAACATCACGTCAACGCGACACGTACGTCAGCGCGCAAGCCGAGAAAGCGCACAAACGACACCGGAAACTCTCGTCGTGGCGCTTTCTCGTCATCGGAAACGCGAGGAGTTTCTCACCGTCACTCTCGTCGAGATCTCGTCACTCTCGTCATCGTCCTGAGCGGCCTGTTGAGCATAGGCCTCCTGCATGGCTCGTTGCTGCCGGGCGAAGTCCTCGACGCTGCCGAGGCCGGAGCACGACCGCGCGGGGTGGTGGGTGGTCCGGTGGGTGAGTGGTGTTTCTCCTGGGACTTCAACCTGCTGTTGGGGCGGACAACCGGCTTTGACTCCGGGTCTCGTACCTTCCCATCCCAACCGCTGGGTCTTCGATGGGCCTCGCGGCTCCCGAAGTCGACCGGTGGACTCCCGAAGTCGAATCACTTCATCGGTCAGGTCGTCGGCAAGTCGGAGGTCCTCCTTTTGCCTGGCCAACTCTTTCTGCATCTCTGCCTGGAAGGCGCGTGGGCTTTGGTGGTTTTGGGTGGCAAGCCTGAAACCCAAAGAGGTGACACAATCCCAAGACTGGATGTGGATCAAAGAAACCAAAGAGCGGTGTGAATTGACAAAAAGAGTCCAAACATGTCCCGACCGCGACCATCCCCTTTTGCATCATCACAGGGCTTTCTATTGACTTAAACAGAATATTTCTTGAAGAGCTCTTTGACTAGTCAATTCATCCCTATCGAACGAGCAGCATTACAAGTTCTAATGACAAGTTTTCCTAACAATCTAGAAACCAAATCATTAGTGCGAGCGTGAGCTATCCTTCGTCCATACTTAGTAGCTTACTTGTAGGCACTAGCTACCTAGCTACTACCTCTACAGGAGAGAGGAGCGGGCTAAAAATAGAAAAGAATGTTGAAGAACTCTTTGACAAGTCAAACGACATCCCGATAAAACGACCACTCGCTCTCATCACCTGAAAGCTTCAAATTTTGGCTCTGGGCTTCTTTGTTCAGGAGTAACTCTGACCAGTTGAACAACTGACCTGAGATGCGGAGAATCTTCTACATGTCCACAGCCTATGTGTTCAAGACTTGGGAAAGACTCCCATCACAGCTTTAAATGCTTTTGGACTTGCCCTACTAGGTAAGAGAGATATGTCAGGCTGGTGAAAAAATAACCGTTGGAACAATGTTGAGTGGCGACCTCCTCATTGAACACACACACACACACGCATATGCAGCACATGCACGGGCATTCTTGAAGAACTTGGCACATGCATTCTTGGTGTTTCCGCCATGGTTTCTTTTTTTAACACACCATGGAACTGTCAATTGGAACATCCATCTTCACCAATCCTCCAGTGACGACCTGTCCCCGTCGCATGATCCTGTCGCCTGCTTCTGCGCAGCCTTCTTCCGATGCTCGTACCTGGCGTCAGGAACGAAGCGTTTTGGAATCATGCAAAGGCTGGCAACGGCTGGCTTCAAGATGTGTCCAAGGTGGCTTGTTTTTGACTGAACTTGCTCCTCCAGGACACTTCAACCATCTTCAAGGTTCTGTTTGAATTACTTGGGGAGCAAGGACGCTACTAGGGGCTCCTGGCATCGCTACTAGGAGCAAGAACGCTACTAGGGGCACCTGGCCGTACTACTAGGAGCATCCTTACTACTAGTAACAAGAAGCTATTAGGAGCAAGAAGCTTCTCCAACTCCTCACCCTCTGCCCTCTCCGTGCCCGGCCCGGCAGGTCCCCGAAGGGGAGGCGTACTGAGTCTTAGCGAACTCGTCTTGGACGCGCTTCTGCTCATATTCCAACGTCGCGGCAGCCGCCTAGCCGGTTGAGATGAGCTGGGGCTGTTTCTTTCCAGAGGAATTCCTGGATGAAGCCGGGAAAAGCCATGAAGTTGATTGTATGGTGAGCCACTTCAACAAGAGTCCCTTGACTCAACACCATCTTGAAGAGACCAGTGAGACTCGGCTGCTGAAGGAGCGACTAAGTGGCTGACTCAGTGGCTGATCATCGGCTTGGAAGAAAATAATACAACATTAAATCCATTCAGTGAACATCTGTAAGGCCAGGAGCGCCCCTAGTAGCGTCCTTGCTCCTAGTAGCGATTTGTTCCTAGTAGCTTCAATTGTTCCTAGTAACGGCCAGGAGCCTCTAGTAGCATCCTTGCTCCTAGTTCATTTAAAGGATGGGTCGTTCAACCTTGGCGCTCCAAACACCACCATGTAGCGAACCACCCTGACGTCAGTAGGTCCACTATAGGTCAAGCAAGGAGCCCTCCCTGCCGTGACCGATCATCACCCGCCGATCATTTTTCCAACCAGACTCTTGAGGACCATCAACCCCCCATATGAGGAGGATTCTCCACTTCAAATGGTGGGGTTTATGGTCCTCAAGAGTCTACATAATACCAATCACCTATATACTATATACCTCACTTTTAGTCGTAACTTCCGCCCAGACATGGATGGTAAAACCTCTCCACCGAAAGCGCTCACAAATGAACCCAAAACCTGACACCATGCCGCCAGCATGCCGCCAGCATTGGTGGCAATTGACTTGTCAAACCTCCTTCAGTCGACCTTGTCAAACCTCCCCCACCTGCTGATCCAGGATGGCTCGCCGCTCGAAGGCTGCTTGCTGCAGTCCCATGAGCTGGTAGTTCGCCTCGACTCGCGTCCACCCGGTTCCGCCCAGGAGGGTTCCTCAACGCGAAGCGATCTCCCCGAAGAAAAACGCCTGGAAAAGCATCAGCTCTGGGAAACACCATGACAAACAACACCCCAACTTGACTGAATTGTCTTCTCGGCGGAGAAAACAACAAACCATGCCTTCCACTCAGGTACCCCCGAAATTCCCCGATCTTTTTCGCTTTCAGGACCTCCACGAGTCTCGTCTCCTGGGCCCTCGTCTTCGGCCCTCTACTTCGCCTGCTGATCGACACTCATCTCCTGGGCCTTCAGCTGCTGATCCACCTGCAGCGTCGACGTCGCCGTCGCCGTCGACGGCGGCGCGTGAAGAACCGAAGCTCTTCCGGGACGTGGACGTCGCCGTCGACCGGGAAAGCCTTGTCTGAGAGATGGTCCATTCATGAAGGCATTCATGATCTGATGTGACCATGACTTCAAACACCTCAAGTATCTTCAAATGATAAGAGGTAGAATGACCTACCACCGCTGGCAGGGTCGCCCCTACGAACCCGTTTTCCAGAACGGAGGCAAAGAGATTGGCGTTAGAAAACACTGCAGGTTCTGGCATGGATGTTACACCCTGGAAGACTAACATGGACCCTGAAAACCATCTTCCAGGGGGCCAGACAGTTAGGGTCATCCTGTGAGTTTTCGGGAGTGTCGACAAACTTGTTTTTGCCAGAGAACTTCTGGGAATTTCTCCACGTCAATATCTGAAATGCCATTACGCAAAGGCAAAGGCTTGTTGGACAAACCGACGCATATATCATATGAATATGGTTCCTCTGGAAACTGATGGTGAACCCTGCAAGAGCTCTTTTTGCCATATCAGAATCACCGATGGGATCAACCCACAAAAAGGAAGCCATTTTTTGATGCCGAAGCAAGAGTGGATTCGCCATGCTTCGCCCAATACAAGAAGGGAAGTCACTGCTATCGCACCTGCAGGTAGTACTGCTCGGTCTTCATTTCAGCCTCCTGAGGTCTGCTGAGGTCTCCGAAGTCGGGTGATGTTTTGCATGTCGGCATCGCCCGCGGGAAACCGCGGTGTGCCTTCGGTTGGGTTTGTATCGAAGAGGCGCTGCAAATGTCTTCTTGTTACTAGTAGCGATGCACTTTGTTACTAGAAGCTTCTTGTTACTAGTAAGGCACTTGTTACTACTAGTAAGGCACTTGTTACTACTAGCCTTCTAAGATATGGGTGAAACATGATGAACCATCTCCGAGTATGAGAGATGTTTTGCACCACAGAACTGGAGATGTCTCATTCTGAACCACTGGATTATGATATCATTGTGTTCAAATATATATATATATAATATAATCTGATTATATGATGATATGGCAGTGGTTCAAATCCTGGAGCTTCCAACCCTGGTAGGTGGACCATGTCCGGTGATCTATGTCGTTCGTTTCGGTGGTCAACCAGGGTCCCACTGTTTTGGTCCCCAATGCCATATACACCTTAAGTTACCAAATTAATATTGACGCAACGCATTAAAATCATTTAAATTCTACAATCCTAGCCGTTAACTATCATGAATGACTCTGTAACTTAATTTTATTCAATATAATTTAATATAGTGTACACTGTACACTTCCTGTACTGCCCGAAGCTGGTGCTTGTACAACCAGCTGTACCAGAGCATACAAAAGCATGGAAGCCAAGAGGAATCATTGCAGAAATTTGCAGAATGCATCACGTACCGGGTCCCCTGCTGAGGACACCACCGAGGCGAAGGCCAGCAAAACCGCCAGGACATCACCATCGCAAGAGAATATGCTCACGCAAACAGAGCTTCCTATCGCTCCTAGTAAGGCCAGGAGCCCCGTTCGTAGCGTGCAAACATCGCAAGAGAACTCACGCAAACACACAGACCTGGCACCATCGCAGTATATCGAGAAATCATGTCCAAGACTTGGATGGCCTCCCCTCTGTCACCACTCGTGAGCAACACCGTTTGGGACGCCTCAACAAACTCCCTCAGAGTTCTTGCGAAGCACGGTATGCCTGTGCCCCAGCAAGCACTTAGCCCATGTGTCTTGCTGTCATCCATCACCATCGAGGTGATAGGTTGGCCTCAAAGCACAGAGTGGCAGGTCGCCTGCACGCGGCCAGCGGTGCACGGATTGACATTCCCAATGCCTGAAGCCAATCCTGGGTGGGCGGTACTCGACGCTGTAGGAACATCAAGGAACCATGAAGCATCATTGCTGTCACCCACACCCACACACTGCACGGTCTCGGAAGGCAAGTGGAGCAATGTCAGCGCTTCCTCGCAAGAACGCTCATTTTGCTATGAGAATGCACGCTTGAAATCCCTCGTCTGTTTTTCGTGCAGATGTTGCAAAGCTGGATCTTGAAGGTGAGTTCGTACTTCCAGAGAATGGTCGAACGGGGGCCAAAGGACATCGGATGGTCATATGCGCTCTGCAAAGTGTCTAGCATGCGGCCAGATGCGGCTTGAAAAAGACTTTGGCCTTCCTCATGTCGAAAGTACTCCTCTGTTTTTCCTTAAAGAGAGACTCATCAGTGACAAACGCTGAAAATTAGATCTGTCTAGAGGCTGCCTTGCACGGCTTGTGCCAACTAGGCTACTCCCTTGTGCTAGCACAGAGTCATTGACAGCAGCTCGACCGACAGGTGCCCAGGGCAGCCAATGCAGCATGGTCTACCTTGCCGGGGTGAAAGTGATGCTTTTCTGCTCTGAGACAAATGACGGTCATGGCACCCGGTGCCCGGGACTCAGGTAGGTTGACCGAAGCCAGGTCGTCCGTCTAGTCTGTTCATGTTCCGTGGTGGTCGGCTGGTTTGGGTGCCTGTGCCTGGAGCAAAGAGAGCAGGGCCAAGGACGGAACGTCTGCGTGCGCGTTTGCGCGCATGGAGGAATGTCCTGAATTCAGTGAATCGCCGTCGGAGTGTGCCGTTCTCAGGGAACACCAAGAGGTGTTGGCGACGTTCACAGCTTTGGGCGACCGAACTCGGTAGCCACTCGAATCCACGCTCCTTGGGTTGAGTAGTCCGCGTGTCAAGACGAATCACGTCGGTCGAGGCGTCAACCCTCCCCGACTGCGGCAGCAAAACTGGCTGTAAGAAGCTGCTTGACAACGAGCGCGCGCGTGCGCGCACATCTTTGCTTGTCTGGGAGAAAGAGGGAACGAGCCTGTGAGACTCTTGAATTCACAAAGCCCCTTCGGATTGAAAGACCTGGCCATATACTGGCAATATGGAGGTTTATTCATCAGTCTACCTGATGTGTTCTTTGCTTAAAGAGATGGAGTTCAAGCTGTGGTGCTCATCGCTGGCTCGGTCCCGTCGACCCGCCTGGCGGAGTGCCTGTTTCCGGGACTCATTGTTGGACTCAATCATCTTGATGCCCTGGACGCGGAATGGTTCGAACACGTTGGAAGGGTTCATGGAGGAACAGTTGTTGATCCCTATCGCACCAGCTTGGGGAGTGGACATGAATCCGTGCGGCCTGCTTAAACAACCCATGTAAAAACAATGGTCCTGGTGGTTCGATCCCAAATACCTAAAATCAGTGCTTGGAAGCCTTTTTGTGGCCTAGGGGCTCCTGGCCTTACTACTAGGAGCAAGAAGCTACTAGGGGCTCCTGGCATCGCTACTAGGAGCTGTCGGACGCTACTAGGGCATCGCTACTAGGATCCATCCGTCATCAACGGTGGAAGATGGGAGTCCGATGCCGGATCGACCAGCAGGATTTCGCAGGACTTCGACAGTGGAAACAACCGAAATCCGAAAAAGCACGGACAAGAAGCTACTAGTAACAAGGGCATTTCTACTAGTAGCAAGAAGCTAGTAGCAGCAAGGTGCCTTACTACTAGTAGCAAGAGGACGCTACGAACGTAGCTATTTGTTACTAATCAAACTAATGGACCCCTAAGACCCAGTGAAAGAAGCTGCTACCAACGTAACAAAGTGCATGACCACTGAGCACTGCATGGATCCAAAAAACCTCAGGACTGCAGTACCGATCTTCACGCAGCTTCAATCGCAGATGGTCTGTGCGTGTATGTCACAGTATGTCATGACCTAAGTGTGCGCCGCACGCAGAATACCTTTCGTGAAAAGAAACACACGCAACAACAATTACAAACAAACTAAGGATGACTATACGACTACAACCAATATTAAGCAAAAATAACATGGGCCTAAAATGGTATAGTATAGACCAAACCATGCACCCCCTACAATCAACGCATCTCAAAAGCACCATGCTCTACCAGCGGATCTTGATTTTGCTTGATTTTGGAGCCCGACGTCGCACGGTCGCACGGCAATTTCCATGAATTTCCACCACTCTGACCCTGCAGGAGTTCTACCCAGCCAGTACCAACTAAACAACTCACAAGGGTTTTGAGCCTAAGGACCCGCAGAATGTGCAGACCCTTCTTTGCAGTTGAACTGAACTGCCAGTACCATTGCGGGAGGTGCTTCCTACAATCCCCAAAAACACCATGTTCCTCCTCCAGGGTGCTTTTCCATTCGTACATTCCGTCCATCTTGGAATCCCCCGGTCTGAGCCATCCACGGTCCGAGTCAACCTCGTCCTGCCTGCGCCAGCTGCTCATCCAAGCTTCGCGCATAGGCCGCCTTCTGCTGCTCGATGGCATCGGGCGAAGGGATCCTCAGCACCGGTCCGCCCAGGTCAGACATCCACCGGGTCCAAAGCGGGACGAAGACGGACACCAACCCGGAGAAAGTCAGTGGTGAAAGGGTCATTTTTGGGGGAGAACATGAAATGAGTGGTCAACATGAAATGAAAGCAGTAATTAAGGGTTGAGTGGACAGACAAGCCATACGAGTCGAAGATGAGTTGATGGTTTCAAAGCAGCAAAGTACTGGGCATTGAGATAAATCATTGCAACACATTTAAGTTTAACCATGTAGAGTGGTTTGAACTACAATGAAGTTGATTTAATGTAAACATGTGAACGTTGAAACACGTCAAGCATGTTAAAACATGCACACATCACACATATTATGGTGAAAAAACATTATATAGTTACATCAATATATAATATTAACGGGCATTGCACAAAAATGCTCCTAGAAGCGATGCCCTTTGCTCCTAGTAGCGTCCTTGCTCCTAGTAGTATGGCCAGGAACTACTAGTAGCTTCTTGCTCCTAGTAGCAATATAGAATATCAGGCACCTGCTGCCTTCAACTGCCCATGACAAGTGCTTCCTCCCATCCGCCGGCGGATTTTCGGGGTCCCGCACCCTTCCGTGAGCCTGGGCGGCTGCACTGGTGGGCCGGACCTCGGCGTCGGCGATGGCATCAGACAGAAGACTGATCATAACTCAGTGTTTTGATGAATCCAGAGAATGTCATGGCTGCCACCCCCATCCAGCGAATGGTTCAAGCTCAGATCCATCATAGATCATCATAGTTCCGTCCGAAAAACCCCTCCCATGGCTTTGGAACCCTCAACTGATAGGCCACCCCACGGCGCCACGCTCGGCGCCACGGTGGCGCTGCTGGCCGGCACCGCAGGCCTCATGGCGTTGCACGGTGCCAAAACTCTGCTGAAGTTGGTGGCCTAAGGCTTTTCGGTGCAGGATGCAACTCCAACCTACTAGCGATGGCCTCCACCCTAAGGCTTTTTGAGTCTTTGGTGGTGTTCACATGTGTTCATTTTCCGGACAACTGGGAAGTTCGACTCAACAACTATGAATCTCCACTGGCTGCGTTGGGCATAGGTCTAAACACATATATGTCCAAGTGTGGAATCATCTCCGCGCTCTGGTGTTGATATAGTATGCTGGAGGAACAGGATTGTTGCCATCACATTTTTGGGTGACTCACTCTTGAACAGACTGATATGTTTCCACGCACTGCTTTTTGAGTCAACAACTGCTTGGAAAGTTCGGTGTTTGGGGGGACAGGTGGACTGGGATTGGAGATATGGAACGCTTCGATGAAAAAGGCGCAACCTTGGGATCCCTTCCAATTGCAGGACATGAATTCGCCAAACCCAAACACTCCAAGAAGTGTCACATGTTTGCCCACTTGGGGTGGTTTGGGGGGGGTCCATGTATACATGGAGTGTTTGGGAAATGGCAGAGTTGCGTGAAGGTCCACAGCTTCGCCCCAGGCGTCCCCAACGGAGAGAAGGACTGCGGAAGGTACCTGCGGCAGAGTTTCATCACTGGGCTCAAGAACTGCGGCAAGTCTCCAACCTAGTAGCGATGGCCCCCAACCTACCAGGGGCCTGCAAGAAGGATAGTGAACTGGATAGTAAGCACTTGTTTCTACTAGCTTCTTTGTTACTACTAGTAAGGCACCTGTTACTACTAGCGTGGCACTTGTTTCTACTATAATTCATGACTATCCGTAGACGGGTCCAGGCCGATTCGAATGTGCCAGGCCCCAGGACCATTCTCTGGAAGTTTCCTGTGTCACCTCCGTTCGACTCTTCTCATCGAGGTACTTTGGACTCGGGGCGGTGCGTTTTCTGGTGCAAATGGTAAATGAGCCAGTAACAAGGCTCGCTACCAGTAACAAAAAGCTACTAGTAACAAAATGGATGCTGAATGAGGCGATGCTCCAGCTTCAATTTCTGGGGTCTCCAACCATTCACGCTCGAAAAGAGACACCAACCCCGGCGCACTGAGGGGTAGGCGACTGGACGGTGATGGGTGGCGCTTGGACGGTGATGGGCGCTGCGGTGATGGGCGCTGCTTGGACAGTGGTGATTGGCGCTGCTTGGACGGTGATGGGCGCTGCCGTGATGGGCGCCGTCGTTGTGATGGGCGCTGTCGTCGTGATGGGCGCCGCCTGGTGGGGCGTGGAGGTCTTTGTCATGAGGACTGGTGGGTAAGCGCAGGGTGTGGCTTTTGATGCTTCCCTTGGTCTAATATTGAAAGCAGCGGATGTTCGGTATTTACGAGTGAATCAATCAAGACTATTCTGAGAAGGGCGTGCCCTGAAAAAACAAATGGAATAAGTTGATAGGTTCCAATAAATTACCTACATGCATCTTCCTTGCTATGCCTTTTTGGGGTTGTTTGGAGGAAAGCAGGTGGCGGACATGTTTGTAGCAACAAATCATTTGCAAGTCCGAAAGTGCAGGTCTAAAAGATGTCTCAAGAATTAAACAAAAGAAAAAAGAAACACACCTCTCAACAAAGGTTGAAGAACCCTTCTTTTAGACTATTCCCTATAGGTAACTACCCCAGGTGACGTGTCTTTTTCCAGGTCACTACCTCTCTTGGTTAGACACACCCGTCTCCTCAGCCTCTACAGTAGACTCTGAGGTTGGAGGCCATCGCTAGGTTGGAGACCATTGCTGGTAGCTTGCAGGCGTCTGCTTCGTCCACTTCATTGGCGCGTCCACTTCTGCACCCGTTTTCAGCGGAGTTCGGTGGCCCGTCTTCAGGCCCGTGCATCACGAAGACGGGAAGGGGTTCAGCTGGATGTGGAAGATGGATTTAGATACTAAGTTCTTACGTCTTACCATTAAAAGAGGACTTGGAACTTGAGAACATGGTGCTTTGTAGTGAAAGCTTCTTACACTGGTGGCTCTGCGCTTGTTTTGTGGAACCTGGTTCCTTCAAAAATGTCTGTAGAAATCTTATCATAGATCATAAGTTCAAACACAAGAAGACAAGAAACAACTAATATGTTGTCAATATGTTGCCCAGTTCCCGAACTGGTTTGTGCTTCGTTATTGTCATCTGTTTCACCTGCCACACACCCAATTCGTCGTGATCCACCGAGCAAAGCGGGTTCTACGACCAGAACTACTCGTCTACTCAGCCGAGGGCAAGGCTTTCACCGTGGATTCCTCGTCCTGGAGGTGAAAAACACCCGAGACCGGAGACCTTCGACACGTCTTGGACATTCGACACGTCGACGGTCGGAGGTTCTGTTGGACCCTTCGAAGATTCGGTTCGATGAAGGTTCGACTCGGTTGCCCTCAAGGTCATGAAGTCTGATAAAACACCCTGAAGAAGGAGGTTCCGTTGGGGTGAACAGCGTGAAAAGAGAGCCATCGAGCCACACCAGCCATGCTATTTTGTTTGTTCAAGTTAGACACCAGGTGGGGCCACCTATATTTCCAATGGGCCTGCGGAAGTTTGGTTGACAAATACCGCTGGTTGAAACGGACATGAAGTTAAACGGACATGCAGTATGGGCCGAAGAAAGCAACCTTTTGGACATGGTGGCGAGATCGATTGCTTGGACCAGAAGCAACAGCTGGACCTGCCATTGAGGAGATCAAAACAGCCTCACAATTGAAGGTGTTGCAAAAAAATAAGCCAAGAAAAAGAGACCTCCCAAAATTGGAACACGAGAATCCTATAGGGTCCAGGTACCTGTTCGGATGGTCCTGAACCTTTAGGGAATGCGATCCGCCACTGTAGGTGTCTAACCTCCTTTGGCATTTGGGTTTCCTTAGTGACATCGACCCCAGGATCCAAAGCGATTCGGACAACTGCAACAAGGAAAATGACAACAAATAGGCTGGTCAAATTGCAGGTCCAGGATGGGCCAGGATGGATGGGTGGAACCACAGGTGATTTGAATGGTTTTCTTTTGTTTATATGGTCTTCATTGATTTACACCCCATGGTGTATCAACTGTACTTGTTGATGTGGGCAATCACGGTCCTTTAGACAATCTTGAGTTGCCTAGAGCACTGTGCATATCTCTGCATCGGTCCTCGTCCTCCTCGTCCTCATCCGGCGCCTCTTCATCCTCATCGTCATCGTCTAATTCTTCCTCCACAGGAGGAAGCTCTTTCATCATGTGAGTGACGTCCTCCGCATCCATTGGGCCAGTGGCGACAAAGCCTTCGGATTCATACAAGGCTTTGGCCGGACCGTAATTGTCGATGTGGAGGTAGATCCTTCATGCAGCAGACCCCGCGTTTGTTCAGATTGGTCAAGGAGGCTGCTACAGGCCCTTGAGTCTAAGACAAAGTCGCTCTACAGACCCATGCTGGGAGGGCTCGAGTCCAGTTGATCATTGCTCTACATGCGGCTGGAGCCCATTGTTTACGTCAACAGAGAATATCTTTACAATCATGTAAAATAAAATTCTGATTATAGATTGTTTGAGGGGAGGAGCATTCCTAAACACGGATGGGCAAAGATCCAGTCACCAACTTTTGCACTTCCCCCATACTTCCGACCAAAAACGTCGAACGCGTCGACGTCGTAACTACTTCGACGCTCCGAACTCGCTCGTAACGCGCTCCGTGACTGCTTTCGATCCCCTGCGCCTCTGATCCTTCCAAACATATCGGATCACCTCCTCCATCAGCGCCAGCAACGCCCGTCCGATGCCGCTGCGCCGCGCGCGCTGGGTGACGCACAGGTTGCTCAGGTAGGGCTGCCACGGCGTCGCCTTGGCCACGACCCGTCGGGACCGGCTGCCAACGCGGAACGCGACGCGAGCGCGTTCCGAAGAGGCAAACATCAACGTGTCCGCCAAAGGGGTTGGTTTGGATCATTTTTTCACACATTTCACATCAAATTGGACGAAATCTGGGAGAATCTATTAGTTCGATCGACCAAATTCCACCTCTGCTTCAAGGGCGCTCCGTCCATGGGTCGCTCATCTTCCGGACGGCGGCCATCGGCGGGGAGGAGGCAAATCTCGACGTAGGCGATCAAGGGGCCTGACGTGCTCCGGTCGGTCTGCGCTTCGCTCTGCGAGATGTGTTTTTGTTTCGCAGAAGTCTGGCGAACTACTAGTAACAAGAAGCTACGAACGGAACAAGTGCATCGCTACTAGTAACAAGTGCCTTACTAGTAGTAACAAGAAGCTACTAGGTTGGAGGCCATCGCTACTAGGTTGGAGGGCATCACTACTAGTAGCAAGAAGCTCAGTGCTTCGTTCTGCGAGACGTGTTGTTGTTTGGGGGTGGACATGGCAATGATGAAACAAGGTGCCGCAGCCGCGGCTGCGCTGCGGAACGCCCGATCAATATGATAGTTATCATATGTTATCGTGCTAATACGATATGATGGTTATGCGCAACTGGAGAAGCTCTGGAACTGCTTGGGAATGGGACCTGGGATGCGTTCCAGCAACCCAGATGCCTGGGATGATGGCTGAAGCGGCATCTGGACCGGTGGTGAATTTCTCTATGGTACACCTAGACACTCCCACCCTATAGGTCTAAGAATGGGATCACACAGGACTCGTGAAGAGTGCAAACCAACGAGTCCTGTGTTCACCCGTCTGGGTGGATCGCATTGGTTGCTCCAAGCCAGGTGTTCCAATCGAAAGCCAGCCGCTCATCGTGCGCTTTCAAGCTGCGTTCGTCCCTGAAACCGCACGTCCCATGGGGGTGGACCGGTTTCCACCAGGCCTCCCTTGCTTTGGCGCGCCACCAGTGCGATACTCTCATCCTGCTTGATGGGCCGCCGAAGCGAAGGAAATTGCAAGGTCACGTCCAAGCCTTGGAGGCGCCACTCGCTATGAACGGAACATTTCGGGCATCGCTACGAACGGAGCAAGAAGCTACTATAGTAACACTTTATCAGAACTGCGAGAAAGGGGGGACGCACAGCTGCAGGTGCATTCTATTTTGAGCCAAATGGATGAGAACAGAAATTCAATGGAAGGGTCAAACACTTGATCCAAAGATTAGGGCAAACGCTCCAGTGTGTTCTAGTGTTCCTTCGAGAGGACTTTGGGTTGGAGGCTATCGGCGATCGTTAACGCTCCTTGCCATGACTCCCTTGCACGTGGGGATAGACTGCAAATGTGGAACAGGGGCTTGGAGTTGAAAGGAGCACATACATATCTCATGCGTGTTGTTCATCTCGAGCTAAGCTCAGCCACATCTATCGGTGGGACCTTGTAACCTTCCACAGACCGGTTAGTTACACCACTATCCGTCACATACCTTGGCTGTTGCCAGGTAGGTTTGGCAACAGTGATCAATTTGACAAATCAAGGAAGGCATCCAAAAACACCTTGCCCCGTTCAATGTTGATAGAAGTTGGAAACGATTGATCTGAATTAAACAGCTTGAGAGCAAACAAGGACACCCTTCTAGACTTGTTAGATGCTGCTAGCTGAAAGATTTCACAGGCCCATGTGACTGTTCAACTTGCAGCGCACCCCCAACACACCACGAGTCTCGCTTCCAAACCAACGAAAAGGTTGTCCGATTGAAAAGGCTTGACTTCGACAAACGCAATGAGATACGTTGAGCCGAACGGACACGCATTTCATGGGCCTGTTGTCAAATGGACAGGGCTGCAGGCTGTTCTTCAGTTTGTTTCTGTTTCCTCACCAAATCACCAAATCCTTGTGGATGGGCATCGGACATGCTGGCGACATGTCCCAACACCTAATACTCACCTGCGCCCGGCTTCATCCTCGGCGCTCGGCTTCGAAAATGGCTTCATCTCCGAGGAACGCATCTGAATGCCCTTGGCAATCTCCTTCACCTCGTTCCTCGGCTCTTCGCGGAGACCCGCCGACCAAATCGATCTCGGCCGATCGGTTTGGGCCGATGAGTTCGGCGGTTTCACGTCGATGATTTTCAGGTCGTGGCATGGTCATAGCGATTCTCATGGATAGGTTGGAGAGGTTAGAGAGGTTGGTTGCTCCGAGGGCAGGCAGGTTCCACTTTTGTATGCTAATTGCCAACTTGAGACCCAGACGAATTACCTCTGAGTCATGTGGAACAAGCACCAATTGGCTGGTTCGATTGGCCTGCTGTCCGGTTCGCCTCACCCACTACCGAACGCCAAGCCGAAGGACTCCGGATCAATCTACCCCGGCGACGAACGAAGCGAGGATGCGAACGGAACGGGGCGCTCCTGGCCTTACCGGAGCAAGGCTCGCTACGAACGGAACGAAGGGCATCGCTATACTAGCAAGAAGCTACGAACGTAGCTCCTGGCATTTCTATTGGGAACAAAGGGCAAGGAGCAATCTCTGGGCTCAACCTCCCCCAAACTCACCTTCCTTTTTCGATGCGTCGTTCCGAAACACGCCTTCGCAAGCGAGCCTCTGCTCGATGAAGGGGTTCACATACTGCGCCAAGGGGTTCCCTTCGTCCCAGCGTTTCTTTTTCAAGGTTCGGTCGAAACACTCCACCATCCTCGGTCACGAAGGAAGGCGGGCCGGACGCAGCGAAGACGAAGACGACGTCGCGGCGTGCGAAGTAGACGGCACTGGACGGTGGGGGGAGACAGATGGAAGTCTCCTTTGTCTAAGAACACCTTGTACTATAGAACTAGTCCTAGAAGGATCCTCCTACAGTAGGTTTCCAGGTTTCCTCCTTTTACAGCATGACATCCTTCTCTCCTAACATTGCTAATTATGCAGTATAATTACAACGTAGGGGACGGCAACCGAGACGGTGAAACAAGAAGATGTGACACATTAAAACCAGAATCGGCTGGCCGTTTGCGTAGTTTTGGGTCTCATGGCCCGTGCATCAAACTGATCGCCGAAACAGCCAAACTGTCAGAGTCACGAGTTTCGATGACCAACGCCTTGGAGCTTGAAAACCCAAACGACTGGCATTGGCTCGTTCGCTATATATGTCTGGGGTTCCGCACTTGAAGGTCACTCAGATCGCAAAACGCTATAGTATAATATATATCTAGGCTTCAATTGCACGATCTGTTGACACAACTTCAAGCACTTCATGCCATAGATGGTCAATGTTGCTACCCGCAGCTCCAAACTCCACCACCTTCACCAAATCCCCCAAGCAGACATATTGGTCAACAGGTTGATAAGAGCTTGAAATCCACAGTCCGCTCTGGGCCGCTTAAGCAAGAACCATTTCCAGTGGAAACAGCTTACTTCCTGAAGCAAATGGATGAGGCGACTGGTTTCACGGGTTTACCCACCAAATCCCTTCAAAACTGGTCTGAAGTGAAGTAGAGTACCTCTTTGATATGTTTATCATTAGTGGTCCCCTTAGATTCATAGAAACAAACTTGCGGTCAAGATCGTTCAAGATGGTTTGTGAGGAGAGTCACTCTTCGATCTACTTTGAAGTTGGAAAGTCTTTGCGTGTTCTTATTGCCGGACCCCTCAAGCTTTTTTGGGGGAAAGAACGTGAACCCCACAGCTTCAGGGACCCCACCGCTTGCTTCCGCAGGCATCAGTGCCGTGATCTCCGGCAAATCGTTCACATCGGGCATGCCGACCTGATCGCTTCAGGGCCGGTGGAAGGGTTTCAGCATCCTCCGGAGCAGTCTGGGTGCCATGATGTGCCGAGATGGCAAATACTAGTGGGTCGTCCAGCCAGGATACCCCGAACACGATGGTCCTGGCAGTTATCTGTACATTGAGCTGTTTGAGCCGTGTTTCTTTTCACCAACCAATGTCATCGTTCAGCGGCCTCCAAGCCCAGCTCCTCCAAGGGTGCCAAGGTCCGCTCCTTATCCAGCTTCTCCTTGGTGGGACACCGTCTTGCTACTAGTAGTTATGCCCTTGCTACTAGTAGCGATGCCCTTGTTGTTTTTGGTTGTAATGCCCTTGGTTGCCACGAACCCGCCGTCGCGAAGCCGACCAACACCTGCTCACGGCTTCTTAGGACCTCCACCCCTATCACCAGCTTGTCCAAGCATGTCCAAGTAAGCAGGACGCTACGAGCAAAGGGCATCGCTGCGAACGGAGCGATCGGACGTTGCGATCGGGGCACGTTCACCACTGATTCTCTGCACGAAAAGGTCCCGATGGATGGGGTGAATCAGTCTGGGGGGCTGGGAGGTGAGCCTCCCGAATGAAGCCACAGCTTCGGGTGGGGTGCCATGGTGCCAGGTGATCAGCGCAAGATGTGGAATTGATCTGGAAGTCCATTTTGGGGACTGAGAGAGACTGATTCTTTAGAGCCCATTGAGCCTACCTTTTTGGGCTTCAGCTGGGGGGCTTCAGCTGGTGAGATACTGGGGCGTCTTGGGGTGTCTTGGCCCATACCAGCACCACGCTGTAACATTACGGCGCTGCCTGGATGGCGCTTGAAGGATGCTACGGCACAAAACACACTCATGGCAAAAACGGAATATTAAATATGTAACATTATGTAACACTATGTAGCATATATCACGATGCTGTTGGAGAAACCAAGTGAGATGCCCTTGCCAGGTGTTTTCCCTTCAAGAATGGTTTTCAACACCGCAGCCAGGTCTCTAATAGCTGCTCTCCAGTGCTGAAGCGCGACAAGGCCAGCGCTTTTCGCACCGTACACTGTGGACCCCGCGACGCGTTCCTTCCGCGCCCCACGCCGCGCGGAAGGTTCGCGCGCCCCTGCGATGCCACGAAGGTGAAGGCCGCACCCAGCAGTGCCAGCGCTGCAAGCCGTAACGCCGCTGCAAGCCGTAAGCCGTAACGCTGCCGCATCGGTCGCGTCATGAGCCAAAGAAGTGAAGTTCTTAGGTGAATATAAAGACCATTGAACCACAGGTGCTACTAGTTGCTTCTTGCTACTAGTAATAATGGCCTCCAACCTAAGAGCGATGGCCTTCACCTAGTAGCTTCTTGGTCCTAGTACCCATGCATATACATGCTGATCCTCTAGCTTGTGGGGACGAATTTGACCCGAGGCGAACGAACGAGGTGAGGTGAGCCTCGAGGTACGCAACTGATGCCATCGAGGTGTTTGGGTGTTTGCTGTGAGGGCTCACAGAACGCAGGTGTCATATGGAGCTTTTCTACAAATCTTGATTGACTATGAGTGCTTTGTCGCAGGTTGTCATATCGGAACTTAGGATCAACCCTCAAAACTTGCGGAGTTTTCGCTCTGCTGTTCATGGAGATAGTTGGCACAATCGGCACACAATTGCATCAGCATCAGCGACGTCAAGCTGCCGGTTGTCTACACCCGAAACAATCGACGGATACATGCATGAAAACAAAAAGAATACGCTGGGATTCCAACAAGCCAAAATGGTCTTTACATGTCTTTACCAAAGAACCATTGATCTACTAAGGATGTTCGACTCCCAAACCAGGTCAACCCTTCTTTTGATGCTCTTGGAAGACTTCCTCGACTCTCTTCGTGGAGAGTGGAACTTTCACCCAAAAAGATCCGTCAAACAGCTTGAAACTCTGGTCTTCGAGTCAGTCGATCCATGATACCTCCAGTCCAGCCTCCGACGGGATGGACCTCGACGTCCCGACGTCCCTGCCCTGTACGTCCCTTCTCGACCGACAAAAAGCATGCCGCTGTTCAGCATGGAATTGAGTCCCGAAAGATCTATCATTCTATCCGATTGGCTCGATATCAACACCGGCAACCAGTGTACTATATATTATGCCTATGCTTATTAGAATATGGTAGACTTTTCTGTATCAACGATTTGCAAAGCTTCGACAGCTCATCACCTGCACCCCACTTTAGCACTGCCATTGTTTCTCTTTTGATCTTCGCTCCATCCAACGGCGCCCGCTGCCGTTCCTGGCGACTGATCCCGATCCGACAGAATTGGATTTGCTCCCGTCAAACCATGTTGTCCCAGGTGTCCCCCTTTGGAAAACTCCGAATCACCGGTTCAGCAAAACTAGGAATCCTGCTCAGAAGGTCGTGGAGCTGCCAAAGCTATCCGGCTTCAGCCGAAGAGGCTGGAAGTTTCTGGGAAACCAAATATATGGCATGGCGAGAGCGAGAGGATGCTACTAGGAACAAGTGCATCGCTACTAGTAACAAGTGCCTTACTAGTAGTAACAAGGACGCTACTAGGACCTTATATATGGGTCTTCCAACTTGGAACCAAATCGCTTCGGCGACCGCGACACGCAGGAAGCGGCACCTCATCGGTCGAATCCCCAAGAAGTGAAGACGGCGAAGGCCAAGAGCACGCAGAAGGATTGCCAGGCGAAGTGCCCCAACATACCGATGAGGAAATACCTGGGTTGGAGCCGATGCCAAAGGACCCTCAAATCTAGGTGTTGTCGTTGTTGCTGCTGTTTGTTGTTGTTGTTGTCGTCCTGCGCGAGTATCTACAATCCACACGTGTTTGTGCACGAAGAAAAGCAATAAGGGACATGTCTTGGGACTTCACCAACTATCCCGTGACGCTGCATTGCCATGCTTCACCACATAAGTTCTTCATCATAAGGTGCTGGAATGACGGAAGAACCTGAATTTGAACTTTGCACAAACATCTGGTGAAAGATTTGGGTAGTTAGCTCCACACATCGCCAAGATTCGACCAATCCATCTGGTACCCTGATGCACGAAGCTAACAAAAATCACTAGCCCCTTGTTAGTTGGCCTCCAACCTAGTAGCGATGGCCTCCAACCTAGTAGCTTCTTGTCACTAGCATAAATGCCTTTGTTACTATGCATAAAGGCCACTTGTAGCCGTCCGTGCGGAAGGCGTCCATGGCCTCTGAGGAGTCTTGCACCTGAGTCACCACGAAGCTCTGAAGCGTCGTCGAAGCTTTTGCGAGCCACCCCAGCGCCCGCTAGGCCCTTCGAAAAAAAGAAGTAGTGATCAATCTCGACAGTGTCTGAGACTGATCAAATAGTGTTGACAGTGTCTGAGACTGAGATATTTCACCAACATTCTTCAAAAGAGACTCTTCAGAGTCACCAACATGGGGGGGAAATCATCAGTCACCTTGGTGCTCATGGTCGATCCCTTGGTGCTTTACCGCCATGAACCACCTAGCTGACCGCACTAGCTCCTCTAGCTGTCAAGAGTCTCTACGGCCAGTTCCCATGAACAAAACGCCAGTTCCACTCCACACCAACGACTCAGGAGTTCCCTTTTTTCTCTTTTTTCCCACCCAGTGTCTACACCACACTCGCGCTGACTCGCACCGACCCGTCGGTCCCCCGTCCGGACACGTCCGCACGGCTCGGGCCGAGGTGCCCAGTAAAAGAAGACCGGGTGTTTCGCCTGACCCGGAAGAGCTGAGGTCGTGAACGAGGGTCAAAAACAGACACGTTGGGTTAAGGGTCCCGGACACCCAACTAAGGGTCCAAAGCCAGGCAAGAAAGACAGCTTAAGGTTTTTGGGTGTTAGAGTTTGGTGTAGTTGGATGATTCTAATGAAAATCCTTGAACCTGTTACAAGATCAAGGGTGAAGAACATATATTCTTATCTGAGCGATTTTAAGACAAAGATTAAGCCACATAAATAGGATCGGCTTATGACACAATTTGTGATCTTTCTTTCGGGATTGTTCCCTAAAATCAGGGAGGTTGCGAATGGAACATGATACCCATAAAACATATAGGTTTACCCATTTTCTGGGGTACTCTTGATGGGCAACATCTTCGTCTACTGGCCTGTATAACTCATTTCCTATCCACAGTACCGAATCTGCCGTACATGCTGAGCACGGGAATCCTAATGGCTGGTCACCGACCGTTGAGCAGGGTCTTGAGTGACTCAACATTGGTATAAAGCTCTGGTCACCAAGCAAGCGATCCTGGTTGGTGGTAAAGGGAGATGAGAAGGAGATGAATTGGGCCAGGACCAAAGGGTCTCAAGTTTGTGTGAGATCTAGATATCACCATCTAGCTGAACTGGGTTAGGAGAAGACATATGATTCAAACGGATCAGGGCAGTCCAGTCCATGTAAGCCGCTGTGTACTCAACATGGACAAAGCAGTCCATAGGGCGACGCTCTGCTGGTGCTCCAAGCAGTTGTCAAGCTTGCTCATCCCCCAACTGCAAGCTTGCTCATCCTGAAGGTGTTGCTCATCTTAGGATTCCTTTGGAGACTTGACAAAGTCGATATTTTGGAAGAAACGAGCCAACAGGTATATGGACTCAAAACGCCCCCCCAAAAAAGACACTTGGATTTGTGCATGTCATGTTTTCCTTTTCCTATTGCTGTGGTCTGGAGTTGGCTGAATTTTCAAGCAAGGACCCCTATGTAGAGATCTTGTTCCAGCTTCCATGCAAACCCCAAACACCAAAACATTGGGAGACCCGTCCTAGACTCGTCTTCCAAGAAGTGAAAGTCCAGCTTCCATGCAAACCCCATTGCTATTAGGTTCCCTTTAAACCTAATTAGGTTGCCATTACTGTTGTTATTAGCTAAGTAGCCCAGCTCCACCCCAAACCGTCCGGGCCTTCAAGCTATACGCCGCCTCCGCCTGTTCCACAGCCAAGCGATAGAAGGGTCGCTGTTCGTCGTCCAGTAGGCGCAAGCCACTGTGGGCGCCAGGGTTGTTGTACTCGCCACCTGAGTTGCTTGGCGCCACTCTCCGGCGCAATGGAGGGGGTTTCTGGCGTGCGCCAAGGCCGTCACCCTTCCGGTTCCGGGGCACCGAACATGACCTGGCTGGGTTCGGAAGGACACCCGGCCAAACCAGATCAAAGAAGATGGCCATCCAATGGTGTACCAAGTATCCCAATTGCAACCGCCCTGCATCATGTGGTCGCACCAGTGCCGGGGCACGTTATGAAGGTCCTAATGATCCCCAGAAGTTCACATGAAGCCATGCTAAGAACCGCTGGTTTCGAGAAGGACACCATCTTCCATGGGGGCTTCAACTCTTTTTCAGTTCCAATCTATGGGACTGATTTTGGTCGGAGGCTTGGTCTCGTGCCATGACAAACAGCACATTCCAACACCTCCAAAACGACTGCCAAGGGGCAATGGAAGTCAGCAGTGTTGAGGGAGCAACAATTCCTCAGCGAAGCTAGCGAACGTTCAAGTATTGGAAAGTAGGCTCATTTGATACAGGTGTATGGGAAGTGGGAGTCCAGGATATTATGATATCAAAAAGGATGGACTGGGGTTTGCAAAAAACATGGCCACTCAGAAGCAAATTCTAAACAATTCGGACCACCCCTGAGTGTTGGTGTCCGATGACCTTCCTTTGACTGCAACTATGAAAGACACCGCGCATACAAAATAACTAACACCTCGCCACTCCATGCTTTCGCGGCTTCTTACGAAGGCTATGAAGGAGTATCATGACCAATAGATGTTGATTGGATTTGCTTAAGGAACCGGGAAAACACATTATTCCCCAGAGGAGTTCACCGAAACTGACACATCACCGAGGAACCTCGACCAACCTCGACGAAGCGAAGCGTGCAAAGCTTTGGGCGGCGTAGCAGTGCGCCCCACTGGAAATGTCTCAAATATATAGGAAGAAGATATGAATTCAATGAATTCTAATTTATTTACTGTTTCTAATAGCGTCCGACAGCTCTTAGTAGTAGGGCCAGGAGCCCCGATCGTAGCGTCCTTGCTCCTAGTAGCGAGGCCAGGAGCCCCTAGTAGCTTCTTTGTTCATAGGAAGAAAATATGAATTGGAAACAGCTCTTCACCTGAACACCAGCGGCCACGCTCAAAGATAATAGGAAGAACTGGAAGAACACAAAACACACCCAAATGGCACGCCCGTGAAACAAACAAATCCGTGTTGCGCATGTTGCGTTTGCACTTCGTATCGTTCCTCATGAGCTGTAGCTGTAGCTGAGCTAGGCAAAATGTCCTTCGGAACCACCGGGAATCAAGCCGGGAACCTCTAATGTGTCACTAGGAACAAGTGCATCGCTACTAGTTTAACAAGTGCCTTACTAATTCGTAGTAACAAGAACGCTACTAATTTTAATTCAATTAGTAGCGTTCTTGTTACTACTAGTAAGGCACTTGTTTCTAGTAGCGATGCACTTGCTCCTAGTAGCTTAAGTGTCCTTCGGAACCACCGGGAATCAAGCCAACTGCCCAGAAGTCGTAGCTCTCCAGTGGCAGCGCCACCCCACCCTTGGTCACGGTGATGGGCGCAACACCTGAGCGCCCATGAGACCGAGTGGGTCGTACTGAAGAAACAGGTCCTTTCATTATATTCATAGTAATACTAACAAATAACTATATATGAAACTTGAGAGAGGAGGGGGTGAACGAAAGGTAGTAGGCAATCACAAGTATCCCTGGTAGAAGTCCATACTAACAAATACATATGAAATAGATTTATGAACTCATCTGAAACGGTGTTATGAACATGAATGAAACATCATGAGACCATTTCTGACAGCGCCAAAGGAAGGATCGGCTTTATCGAAATCACAAAACACCGTGTTGTCAAAAGATCGATGGAGCAAAAAGGAAGGTGAGAACAACCGCTCTGCTCACGGGATGCCATGGGCAAGCCAAAGACCGAAGCGTCCAAAGACCGGGGTAGGAGCAAGGACGCTACGATCGGGGCTCCTGGCCTTACTACTAGGAGCAAAGGGCATCGCTACTAGTCACAAGAAGCTATTAGAAACCACAAATAAATTAGAATAGACTTACCATTTAAAATGGTAAATTTTGGTCAATTCGATGCTTTGCCCCCACATCACTCCAATCAACCCCCCTTCCTCCCGACAAATCCACAGGTTTTTTCTTGGGGTTTTGGAGAGAGAACATGCTCTGACTACCAGGCTATCACTCAAATCCACGAAATAGCCTTGGAGTTTGCATCTGACATCACATTGAAGAGTTGAAAGATGTTGAAAGTGCTAGGAGCTTGGTCAGACCCCAAGATCAACCCAAAGACACCCTGACAACAACGGTCATTCTCAGCTTGAAGAACTGTGCGGTGGCTCTTGGGCCCTTTCCCTGGCTCCATCACTTGGAATAGCCATCAATTTACTAGTAGCTTCTGTGCATCGCTACTAGTAACAAGGGGCATGACTACTAGTGACAAGAAACTACTAGTAGCTATTTTGCTACTATATAGTAGTAATACTAGTAGTAATGCCCGTTGTTACTAGTAGCGCTGCACAGAAGCTACTAGACAACAACACAACCATCGACCCTTCGTTTTGGGGGTCCTGATGGCTCGTCATCACCCTCGTTGAGGGTGCTGCCTGATGACGCACAGGGTCACATGACCTGCTTCAGTCTGAGTGGCAGTAGGTCTCTACGTTCTTGAAGGACATGGACCTTCGAATGTCCTCGCTGGACGCGTTCGTTCGACGCGGACGGGTTCGACGCGTCGAACGCCAAGCCGGGAAGAAAAGACATCCCAAACCGACCCCTTTGAGGGACTGCTCTGCAAAAAAAGAACTGGCAACAGGAGCGAAATCAGCAGAAGCACCACAATCAACACTAGACTGCTTTACCCTGTTTGCAATTGCCAGGCTTCAGCTCTCCTACCAGTCTGGCTGAAGCCTGCTGAAGTCACTACTCCTTGGTTTCCACTTTCTCCTTTGATCCACACCATCCTCCTAGGAAGAGGCATTGCTTTCTCTTCGACCAGTGGAGAGCTGATGAAATTCGGTCGAAAACACGTCTGGACGTCTCGAAACCCGGTCGAGGGGGCTTCGATGCCGGTCCTATGAGTTCCGGCTTCGATTCACCGAGGACAGCGGCGCGGTCCTATCACTTTCTGACTCCGACCTGGAAAAGAAAAGCTTCACCTTTTGACGTTCATCTCCAGTGGAAAAAAAACACACCAAGACTTAATCCTTTGCCCCAAACGAACACGCTGGTCTGCAGCTCTTCCACGGTTCCTTGATGTCGGCTTCGTCAAACTCCAAACACCAATCGACCCGGACCAAATGAGAAAAGGCTTTGGTTCGGGTCCGGAGGTGAACTGCCTCCTTTCACTGGCCCGTTGTTCCGTTCGTAGCGTCCTCTTGCTCCGTTTGTAGCGATGCCTTGCTCCTAGTAGTAAGGCCAGGAGCCCCTAGAAGCTTCTTGTTTCTAGTAGCGATGCCAGGAGCCCATAGTAGCGTCCTTGTTCCGTTCGTAGCGTCCTCTTGCTCCTAGCAGTAAGGCCAGGAGCCCCGTTCGTAGCGATGCCTTGGCCAAGCGTCGAGCACCGAGTGCTTTCCGAAGTCCACGCGCCCGGCGGCCAGGACCTCTGCGCCCGTGGACTCCGTCGGACTCACGTCGGGCAGCACGTCCATGTGCTCCTGGGTGTGGTGAACCGTTGGTGTCAACGGATTCTTTTTTTTGGAAGAACAGGACATCAAAGCTATTAGGAGCAAAGGGCATCGCTACTAGGAGCGATCAGACGCTACTAGGGGCTCCTGGCCTTACTACTAGGAGCAAGGACGCCATTAGGTGGGAGGCCAGGACATCAAAGGCGTGTGGCTTTTTGGGCCCTGCCCTTGGTGCTGCGTTTTGTATTTGTCAACAAGCCGATCTTGCTACGGGTCGGGTGGTGGTTTCAAACATGTGGTTCTCCTTTGAACCGAATCCTGGTTGGTCTTGTTCTCCCCCAATATGGACATCCCCAACCGTACGATTCCAGGGCAATCCACTCTTTTTGAATGCCAGGGCCATCTCTCGAATTAAAACATCGCAATCTACGACCTTCCATGTCGATGTCCCGGCTGGCCTTCCTGGCATATCGGAAGCATGAGACGACCGGTCTTCGGTCGGGGCCATGGGCCACGGAACTGGAGAACCCATGGAACACCAGCTTCCCGCTTGTGTAAGGGACCATTTGAAGCATGTTCACATGGATTCGCCAAAGGGGGAACAGTCTGTTCAGAAGAACCGTCCCGTTCGCCTGCTTGGTCAACCGAGGCACATAGCTGTGATAAGGCTGTGAGGTGGCCGCATAGTTCATATTGCCGAAGACCACAGCCAAAAGCCAGGCAACCTTGGACGCTACGAACGGGGCTCCTGGCCGTACTACGAACGGAGCAAGAGGACGCTACTAGTAACAACGGCATTACTACTAGGGGCAATGTTCGCTACTAGGAGCAAAGGGCAACCTTGGACACTAGTTGCACACTTGGACTCGATGGATACTCTGATCGAGACAAAACAGTATATAAGATCTGTGACAAATCAGGTGGACAGACATGACGGTGTGATCTGCTTCGTTGTGGGATCTGCGTTTTAAAGATATTCTTCTATGCTCGAGAGACCCCCCTCAGACTGAGGGGTCTATCACGTTTCTAGACCAGCCAAAAACCACGAATTACTCTCCGAGTCATTGACATCTAAGTGGAGTTCACCACCTGTTTGTAGAGACACATTATTTTCCAGGGCTTCTTTTCCAATTCCATGATTATTTCAGGGAGTGTGTGCTGATTGTATCTCACACTCATCTGCACACAAACATCATTGCCCCTCCCAACACTGCTTGGAAAGTGATTGTTGACGTGAGCATAGCCTGTTGCTGGTCTGCTGGGGGCATGCATTTCCCTATATTTTCCTCTACCATCATTTGGTGGTAGACCACCGGCAAACTTCTTTGTTCTAATATATGAACACACCTGGATATTAAGTGGAACGGATGTTCTTTGGATTGCGATCTCCATTGCATCCAAGTACTAGTGGCGATGCACATGTATATATTGGACACCATTTTTGTATCTCTGCTTGGGTCCCAGCGAACAATTATATACTCATCTTAAGTAGCAGGGACCCATGATGTGGCAACATGTGGCAACCAAGTCAATCCGATGGCTAGATCCCAAAGAAGAAACGGATCTGGTTCAAAACAAAAGACAACAACACCTATTCTATACCCTAGGAGCAAGGATGCTACCAGGGGCTCCTGGCATCGCTACTAGGAGCAAAAAAGGAAAACAACACCTATTATATAGAAGCTACTAGGAACAAGTGCATCGCTTCTAGTTACCCTCCTGCTAATCGGACCATGGAACCTCCCAAGCTCCCAGTGAAGGGGGTGGGATCGTCGGCCTGCGGGAGTGGGGCCGCCCTTTTCTCGTTGGATCCACCTCGACTCGTTCGAAACCACAAGGACATGGACCGGCCATCCACAAGGACTACATCCGAAGGTGGTGCCGAAGGTGCCAGGGACGGTCACTCCTCGCCCTTCTGAGTCCCCCCTTCTGGACCGCCCGCTTCTTCCGCCGGGCCACTGCCATCGTCACCGACAGGAAGCCTAAGACCCGCTGACCAAAGGGATTTTCCTCTAGGAGCAGGGGATTGTCCACTTCCATGGCTTTGGAGGGAGTGTAAATCATGTAGTTCAGAACTCGTGAATGCCATACTGCCGTACCCAAAGGATCCAAACAAATTACACCTTGTTACCTAGTAGCAAGAAGCTACGAATGTAGCGATGCCCTTGCTATTAGTAGCTTCTTGTTACTACTAGTAAGGCACTTGTTACTAGTAGCGATGCACTTGTTCCGTTCGTAGCTTCTTGTTTCGCACCCCAAGGATCCACACACGAGCACCCGGCGGAGGAAGAAACACCGCACTGAATCCATCGCAAAGACCGCGATTGTGTTCCAAACCAAATCCTCCAAATCCAAAATAGTAACTAAGCTGGTGTGTGTATCTTTTTCCATGTTCCCACGCCGGGACGTTTGACTGTGGGGTTTGCTCACAAAGGTGTCACCTTCTGCCACTCATTCGGCCACCTTCTGCCCGGGATCTCGCGGAAACATTGGAGTTGCATAGAATATCAGGAAATCATTCGAATTCGGACATCTCAAAACATGTTCCATAGGAGACAGGTATATGGATGTCCTTTGTTTGTTTCGAGTTGGCTTCGGAACTGGTTCGTAGACCTGCTCGCCGAGGAGCTATACCAACTGGGCTCACCTTTGAGCCGAAGACTCGTCCAAGCCAGCGCGCACCACACCAGCCCCGCGAGGGCGACCAAGGTGTAGGTGAGGAAGGGGCGATAGAAGTGTAAGGAACAAGACCTGACGATGTCTCACGGTAGATCCATCTGTCGAAGACTGGCGATTTCACAAGACTCGGTCGAAGATGTCGCGAGTTCTCAGGGGAGTTGTCTGAGAAACACGTGTTCGCGTCCGACGACTTTTACGATGGGATGGCACGAGGCACACCAAGTGCCTTACTAGTAGTAACAAGAAGCTACTAGGAACAAGTGCATCGCTACTAGTAACAAGTGCCTTACTATTAGTAACAAAAAGCTACTAGGAACAAGTGCATCGCTACTAGTAACAAGTGCCTTACTATTAGTAACAAGAAGCTACTAGGAACAAGTGCATCGCTACTAGTAACAAGTGCATCACTACTAGTAACAAGTGCCATACTATTAGTAACAAAAAGCTACTAGGAACAAGTGCATCGCTACTAGTAACAAGTGCCTTACTATTAGTAACAAAAAGCTACTAGGAACAAGTGCATCGCTACTAGTAACAAGTGCCTTCCTATTAGTAACAAGAAGCTACTAGGAACAAGTGCCTCGCTAGTAGTAACAAGTGCCTTACTACTAGTAAAGCACTTGTTACTACTATAGTAAGGCACTTGTTACTAGTAGTAAGGCACTTGTTACTACTAGCAAGGCACTTGTTACTATGGGATGGCACGAGGCACATGTTTGGACATGGGTCTTTTGATGCAAGTTCGAGTGTCTCCAGAGTCTTCCGCCCATGCGGCTTTTTGTCCTCCAAGGTGTGTCTTGCAAGTTGAAGACCCACACACACACACACACACACTTGTTTTATATTCAACCGGTAAGAATTCTTTCTTGGAGGGGGAATGTCCATTGGGTAGATTTTTTGAAGCCCCCAAAACGATTCGCGTTCCAAAATCCGAACTCCGCGACCCCAAAACCGTGGAGTGCCCAGTTCTTGGGATGATGGTCAGTAGGACCGCTACGTCCAATCCAGTCGTCTCAGATGCACAAAGTCATCTGCCCAGCAGGCACACCGACAAGGTTTAACATTGGGAGGGATGTTGCTCCATCGCGACTCGAACGGAGCAAGAGGATGCGAAGCGAACGGAACATGGAACGGGCATTGCTGCGGAACAGGTGAAAAAGAACGGTCGGATTGGAAGGCCCAGCTGCAACAAGGCAAAAAGGCCGCAGAAGAAGAGCCAGGGCAAGAAAAGCCCCTGTAACCTTGGCGGTGGCTTCGTGACTTGGGATCTTTCACAGTTTAAGGTTACTTCTACCTTCCAGGAAAAAGAACATGAAAAACACTCATTTTAAAAACGTTCAAACCATTCAAGGCAGCATGGAGAAGATGTCTAGCCGCTGGCGACTGCCCTTCAACCGGGCCATGGCTGCGGCCCCGTAGTATCCCTGCATCGCGCGGTCAGGAGGTGTCAGATGAGGTGTTCGTTACCAGAGACCGGGCATCCTGTGTGCCCGTGCCTTTTGAGCCCAACACATCACGGATGCACTTCCTAGTAGCTTCTTGCTACTAGTAGCGATGCACTTGTTACTAGTAGTGGATTTGATGAAACCGTGTACAAGGATGTACTAAGCTGCCATCTTCCATATCCAACGTTTGGTGAGACCAACGTTTCTGTGACCAGAAACTCAACGCCATTGGATGAGCCTGCGCCGTCATGGTGGTGCCCGGTGTGACCGTCACCGGCTGCGGGTCGCCTACGACCTGGTCGGAAACCGGGCGGCTGGAAGTGGAGGATTGGTTTGCTCAGCCGGTCGGCCATGGGAGTGACGAAAAGGAATGAACATTTCGGACAAGAACTGCTCTACTTCCAGTGATTCGTAGGGCACATGTATTGACAGAAAATAAATACATGCAGTATATATTGAACATGCAACGTTCGTAGCGTCCTTTGCTCCTAGTAGTAAGGCCAGGAGCCCCGCTCGTAGTGTCCTTGTTACTAGCATATTTCAACAATCCAATAATGTGTGAGTGTTGCCTTTTCTTCCGATACTTCCAATGATCCGCAGGGCACATGTATTGACAGAACTATTGACACTATCCTGACATATCATTTGGCATCTCATACGGAGATTCTATCCTTTCCGGCATTCGATCTGGCATGTATCCTGACATTCCTGCTGGCATTCAATTTGACATCCCTAAACCATGTCATATGAGGAAATAGAAACAAATACATTAAACACACGGCGCATCCTACGAGTGCAGCACCCAAACAACCCAACCATTCCTATAGCGGTCCCTTGTTCTCACCTTCCACGTGGAGCTCGCCACGTAGGGCGAGCTCGCCACGTAGGGCGCCGTCATGGGGGTGCCCGTTGTGACCGTCATCGGCTGCGGGTCGCCTACGACCTGGTCGGTGTGGGCAGCTGGAAGTGGAGGATTGGTTTGAAGTATTGGAAGCATTTCAAACATCCAAGAATGTACGAGTGTTGCCCGTTCTTCCAATTGTTTTTGGATAAACACAAAGCCAAAGTTATCCAACAGCTGTGGTTTGGGCATAATCCATCTCATGGGTAACTCCCATGAAAAAATCCACAAAAATCAGCTGACAAACCACTTGAGCACCTGAATGACTGGACCTTGCATTGAATCCCCAAGAAGAACAAACCATGTTATCAATTTCACGCACTTTCACCCAGTGGGTAGATTCCGTTCAATGGATCTCAGTAAGAAATGAGAAGACGTGGATACAGCAGTGTGAACCTGACACCACCGGACAAGCTTCAAACAAGAGTATTCGCTGCAAATCGCCCTCTGATCGGCCGTGTTCCGCAACTTCTCCATCCCACCAGGAGCAAACTCAGGAACAGGCATCCCAATCATGTGGGAAAGGAATCTCGAATGCTCAAAACATTCCAAAACCATGTCATGTGAGGAGATCAACACAACTTAAATATACTAATTTCTCAACATGGCGCATCCTATGACATCCTCCCTGCTGCAACAAACCCAGTTCACACCTTCCACGTGGAGCTCGCCACGTAGGGCGAGCTCGCCACGTAGGGCGCCGTCATGGCGGTGCCCGTTGTGACCGTCACCGGCTGCGGGTCGCCTACGACCTGGTCGGAAACCGGGCGGCTGGAAGTGGAGGATTGGTTTGCTCAGCCGGTCGGCCATGGGAGTGACGAAAAGGAATGAACACTTCCGAAAAGGAACAGCTCTACTTCCAGTGATCCGTAGGGCACATGTATTGACAGAGCTATTGACAGACTATCCTGACAAACACAGACTGACATGGGTAGCCACATGTGCATTGACACAAACATGTGCCGTGACATATGGTCCAACTTTGGTGTCATGTATTTCTACATCTGTTCTGCCATCAGACCTACCACCTGTTCCGACATACACTGACGTAGCTTCTGACATTTGATTTGGCATTTAGTATGGTTTGGCATCTATTCTGACATTCCTGCTGGCATTCAATTCGGCAACTATGCCGACCGTCTTACTGCCATAAACTGATTCTAACCATCTGAACGTCTTTCTGGCATGTATTCTGACATGCCATCTGGAATGGCCGTCTTGTGTGCGGATCCCGTGTGCGACTGAGCTGGAACTCCACTTGACCTCTGGGTGCGTGAAGTGACGAGCTGGAGGAGTAAGGCGAGGCCAGGAGCCCCCTAGTAGCGTCCTTGCTCCTAGGAGGACGAGGAAGGAGTTACACCTCTCAGAAATTCTAGAGACCCTCACCTGGCAGGTAGGGAAAAAAGAACCCACTGATGGTCCCTTTTGGTGTGTTTTGTCCTGTTCTTCCGAAGCTTTGGAAAAAAGAGCAGGACACCAAAGATTGTGGTTTGGGCCTGGAGGCTTTCTGTAAAACAACACATCTGCCACGGGGTGTTGTTTCAAAACGTGTGGTTCTCAAGAAGTTGAAGGGCAGAGTCCTATCAAACCTATAGGCAGTGTGGGGTTGTCCATCATTTGTGACCCCTTGGAAGCCAGCTGGCACAACTATATACAATTAGGGTCACCAAGGGAAAACACGTTTCCCATGATATTGCATCTCAAGGCATTTGCACACACTTGGCACAAATGCAACAAGCTGTCCAAGGGCTATCATGGTTATCTATGCCTCCACAGGGGTTTCATGAACCTTTAATGTGTATTCTAAGTGTGACAGCCATATATTGGACGAAGCAATCAAAAATTGAGCAACACCAATACAGAAGTGCGTGAGACTTCTATGCGTGGGCCACTCACTCGCCTTTCACGAGAGGTTGAAAGACCAACATGCGACTCTGCCAGAGGGTACCTTTACGATAGACCCCGACAGGGACGGCGCCTCACTTGTGCACGCAACATCGGCTCACATGTACCCGCAGCATGTTTTTTGAAAAGTCACTCACCTGCGCACACAGGATGAACTCACATGTACACACATCGATTTAAACAAATACAAACCTGTGCCTGGTACCACATATATACCCACCAGCGCGCACAGCTTTAGCTCACCTGCGCATACACACACAAATTGAGTTGATGTGATGTGTACAAGTTAGGTCACAGTTAGGTAACAGTTAGTGAACACAAATGCTCACTTTCTGAGAATACAAGTTCAAACTTCTTAATGGGGTTAGGTGGGGTGGGTGGGGTGGGTGGGGTGGGTAGGTGGGTGGGTCAATCACGTCTTTGTGGACATTCTTCCACATGACATGATGATCTCTTCTTAGCTATTTGCTTCCTTCACAGCTGGGCACCACAGCGGTGAGGTCTTTCCCCCCGTTCGACCCCACCAGGGCCATCGCCGAATTGGGGCGCCCGGCGGGCGTGGCGCCGGACCAAAGGGCGTGGCCATCGGCCTTGGAGTGGGTGAGCTGAGCTGAGCTGTGGGGCTTGGAGTTATAGAGAAGTACCCGTGCCATGCTTGATTGACGGATATATGACATCAACTCTGGACATGGGAAACCAAGACCTGGACTGATGGCTTGAAGGGTTCTTCACTTCCGCAGCGGTCATTTGTGGTCCATACTTCTGCAAACAGGTTGATGCACCGCAGAATGACACAATGACAATGAAGCCACTAAGGCTTCAAGCCACTATGGTATTGACAAACACATATCTGATCTTGAGCCGTGCAGCTAGTTGCAACACCAAATGAACGAAGACGTGCAAGTCATATCGTAATATGAATACAAGCGTCCTCTTGCTATTAGTAACAAGTGCATCGCTTCTAGTAACAAGTGCCTTACTAGTAGTAACAAGGACGCTAGTAGTAACAAGTGCATCGCTACTAGGAGCAAGTGCCTTACTACTAGTAACAAGAAGAATTCAATTAGAATTCTAATTAATAGCTTCTTGTTACTACTAGCGTGGCACTTGTTACTACAAGCAAGAACATGGTTCTTTTGGACTTTGCTTGTCGTCGTCAACCCCGAGCCAAGCAGTTGATGGACTGTCAACTCCCCGTGGAGGAGCACAGCAGTCGACCATTCTCTCTGACGTGACGGCGAAATCCGAGGCCGCATTGTGGCTTGACAGTGAGACGAGGAGCTACATGACTTATAAACATATCTTAAACCCTTGGACATCAACATCGAACCTGACCAACCAGGAAAAACACCTGTTCTGAAAGGAGTGATTGTCCGATTGTCCAACATGCTGCTGATGAAAACATATCTTCTCCACCTGGCGACTTGGCTCAGCATTGATGGTCCGCACTTAGCGAGTTTTTTGCTCAACAAGAACTGGCAAAGTGAGCATGGCCGCGCCGTTGCGGTGAATGGCGTTCCTCAAAGGGACAGGCTCCGATTTTTCTGTCCACCTATAGGTTGTCCCTCTCGAGTCCTCCAGTCAAAAGAATAACATCCTAGTTCACAGAGTTGCAATATTTTTCCAACCCAGTCCCACCAAGGCCCCCCCTACCTCACCATCTGCAATGACTGCGCCTGGCCGTGCCAGGTTGGCCGTACCACCTCTTCTGGGGTCCGACTCGAGGTTTTTTTGGGGTCTTTTGGGGCTGAAGATTCCGAGCAAGGACGCTATGCTCGGTGGAGGCCATCGCAAGTAGGTTGGAGGCCATCGCTACGAACGTAACAAGAAGCTACTAGGGGCTCCTGGCATCGCTACTAGGAGCAAGGACGCTACTAGGAACAAGAAGCTTTGGCCACACAGGATGGAGACAGTGATGGGTTTCTCTTACGGCCTCGATCATCTCGCTTTGTGGAGCGGGCAATCTGGAAGGTTGAGCATAGACTCGTAGACCCCCAAACAGTCTCATCGTCAAGAATGGCTGTTGATCACCTAAATCCCAAAAAACAAATTAATCAAATTAGATCAAGTTGGTTCTATGGCGTTCTGCGTGGTCTGAGGACATTTGTTCCCTTTGACCAGGGTATTTGTGGTGGTTCCTGGAGATCCCTCGCATGAACCAAGCAAGACTCTTGACTTTTTTGTTTAAGACTGCAAATCCGATTTTAAGTACGTAGTTTTATGAATCCGCGAGTCGATGCCTTCAGTCTACCTTAGCCATCACCTCGGTTCCTTCTCCAAGCGTACGATGAATGGAGGTCCCCCCGAGCTGAAGGAATTGTCCAAAGGCGTCTTCGGACGAACCGATTCCCTCTTTTCCACCTGAAACATCGGTGTTATTTGCTTTCTGGCTGTTTCCGGTGGTCGCCGGTGGTCGTGACGATGTGCAAGTGATATTAACCCTTTCGAAGCGCTAGATAGAAACCCCTTTGACCCTCCTGTTTTGATATAGGAAAGGCCTCTCAAAACAGTCAGTTCGGTGGTCTAAAAGAGGTTCACCACTCAGGGTCTATATAGGTCTAAGACCAAACCACATGCACCGTCCCACCCGTCTTCATCCTTCCACGATCCGGACACCGCGCTTGCAAAAGCGCTGCGCTGCCCCCCCCCTCGGTCCCCCCTCCTTGCCAGGCCTGACAGGTCGGTGCTTGGTTGGACGCTGGAATACATGATGGGCGCGTTGCTATACGCCGCCATGGTAGGCGCACGCCTCCCGGGCGTGGACGGAGTGTTCGCAACCAACCTCGACGTGGATGGAAAAGCGAAAGCGTGACACGGAAGGGGATCATGGAAGGGGCGTCCAAGCTTCGGTTTCTTGGTGTTTCTTCGAGGTCCGAGTGAAAGTGGTCTCGAGCTCCGGGAGTGGACAAAGACTCTGAGGTGTTGGTGAAAACAGTGGTGCTTCGAACTTTGCCCCCAAGAAGTTGGATGTGTCCTTCGGAGTCCTAAATTCCTAAATGTCAAACAAGAAGGAGAACGACAACAAGAAAGAGTCGTTTCGTTCGAGTGGGTGGTGTCCAGCGAGGGGCGGAAGAGGGGCATGTTAAAGCCTTTTAGATGGAATCTATTTGGTGGTTGATCAAAATTTCTTCTTGCTGAAAGGCTCTTCTTCGCGAACACAAAAAAAAAGGCTCTCAGTGACATAGGCCTGATGTCGACCTTTCGATCGACCATTTCAACCTCTCCACTTAAGGAATTGAATCCCCACCTCGACCCATCTGCATCCTCCCTGCACCCCCACCTCACAGGGCCACCCGGGCGATCGAAAATGATGCAAAGCTGAGCCCGGCGAAGAAAACCCGCGAGCAACCGCGTGTAGGACGGCTACAGCCGGGCTCGTCGGAGTTTGGAAGGCGAAGGGTTAACCATCCGAGGTATCGGATGTCCTGCTAGGCCGCAGACCATTCTGGTTTCATACGATCACTCACCTCCGTTACCATCCGAAAAGGTACCTGGACCCATCTGAACCCGGGCTTGCAATGGATTCTCACTTCGTATCAGCGGCTTGCAACGGATTCCTTCCCCAAACAACGACCCAAAGAGTCCTTCTTCCCACGACCCTCTTCCTACGACCCGTCACTTTCAACGACTCAAAGTCTGTGATCACCCAGTGCTTAACGTATTGTCTATTTAGGATGATTCATGATTCAGTCGATGTAAAGGGAAGATGTGTCTCACTCATACCTGGTACATCCTGGTACCTTAATACTCCAAAATGTCATGGGTCTTAATCAACAGGATACAACTTCTGAGAGTCTTAGACAGCAAATGCTGCTTAATTTGTCTGACTTGGCATCGAAATCTGTGACTGGGCCGCGTTGCCCTTCTTTTGCCTTCGAAAAAGACCGGCGGCTCACGCCGGCGGAGAGGGTCTGTCCATGAAAATCTTGAAACCCAAACCATACGAGCAAGGACCGCTGTAGCGTTCTGGAGCGCCCAATAACTCCGCATGTTGGCGGTTTTGGCAGCACCAAGTGGCGGGTTTGGAGCTGTAGCCACGGTCATCTGCACCGATTATATGCACCCGTCGCGCGGATGCGCATGCGCGACGGGTGCAAAGACATGGAAAACCAAGGTGTTCCCTCAAAGAATGCAGAGAAAATCAAGGGCGATGATCAACAGCGAGGACTTCAATGTTTGCAATACTAATTAATTAGTATATCGATTAGTAGCTGATCGGCCTAATGATAAGTGCCCCAACACCTTTATGTATGGGATACCAACCAAAACTCGCCCGCAAATGCTCGCAACCATTCTGCTTGTTGACAAATGCAGAATATCAACATACATCAACTATCAACTCAAAGCCTATGTGGTGGTTGGAGAATCTACCTTGATCCTGATCCATCCAGGAAAATCAACCCCACAGAAATGACTGAATGACCTACTGTGTGATGCAGGATGAACTGCTTCGACCCCAATTTAGCTCCTGCAGCTGCACGCACAGGGATTCAATTCTGGGCCATCTGGCGAACCAATGTATATAAAGAGCTAGCAAAGGTGCTAGCTAGCTGGGCTTTGCAAGACAAAGTCCTATACAAAAAAGGTACTTCATGAAAAGGACGTTAAAGGCTTTGGTCAACCCAAGAATCTCAAAAAGAGTACTACTAGGAGCAAGGACGCTACTAGTAGCTCCTGGCATTACTACTAGGAACAAGTGGATGCTACTAGGAACAAAGGGCATCGCTACGAACGGAGCAAGAAGCTACTGCGGTCCGTTGCTGCGAGGCAAAACCTCGCCATCTTTGCCCAAGAGGGGTGCAATGTCAACCTCTTTCCCTCCGTTTCGAGCCTTGAAACTTGAAACTAACCTTTTTCAAAGTAAGTTGGGTAATTTGGAGTGTTTCACCTCCACAACAAGTATGACCTCGATCGCTTCGAGCTGACTGGGTCAAATTGAAGCTACCATGGACATGGCATTTGATGGTTTTAGGACGAACGATCAACGTTAAGAAGACGTGGAATCTCAGGATCGGTCCGTCCAAACCGATGACGGGTCCCGGTGCGTCCAGACCAAACATACGCGGGCCGCGGATTCATGTGGGAAAAACAACAACAAAAACACCTCCGAAGAGGATTGAGCCATCGAGATTTCCTCGACCTCTCCCCAAGCAAAAGCACCGGAATTGCGGGGATGGACATGAGAGTAGGTCCAAGGTTGTGTTCCGATCAGCTCCTCTAAGGGGTTGACACCAGCTGGACAGAAAAGTCGCACCCCGAAAACTGCCCGCAGTGCAGCGCCGACTCCTTCCACCGCCCAAGAACAACGGACGAGGGAGATGAGTGACGATGCTGGGGCGAGGCGTCCCTTGTGACGCCCAGTGTTCCTCACGCGCATTGGTTCTCAAAAGCTCCAGTGTGGTGGGTGTACCTCAAACCACTTAATGGACCTCCATCTCTCAGGTTGGAGGCTCGTAGGTTGGAGGCCATTTCTTTTAGGTTGGAGGCCATATTTCACCGTTCATGCCACTCAAAAATGGGTTTAACTGGCACCCAAAGAACCCACAACAACATGGATATAGCCAAGCCTTTGGGCAAATGATGTGCAGTCTTGCTAGCTCGAGCTCATCCCAAACACCGACTTGCGTAGACATGAAAAACTGAGAAGATCCAGGTCTCTCGAGGTTCGTTCCTTTCTGGCCAGGTCTCTCGAGGAGCTTCCGAGGCGGCAGCGTCTCTTTCTGCGACACGAATTTATGCCTCACTGGGCTCCGGCTCCTGGCATCGCTCTTAGGGTGGAGGCCATTGCTATTAGGGTGGAGGCCAGTACTACTATATAGTAACAAGAACCTACTGGTAACAAAGAGTGATATGGGGATGCCTCACTGACCTCCGGCTCCTGGGCGGATCTCTTTTGACGATCAAACCCGACCGATCGAAACACGGCCTGAAGGGGTTTGGGCACTGAATTCCCTGAGTCACCCGCAGAACCCTGGCGGAAGCGGAAGTTCCAGTTCGCAGTTGATCCGCCTCCCCAAACGTCCGGGCTCCATTTCTGATGAAGTTCATCAAGTTCTCAACTTTTCGCAAAGCAGGTGAGCCATGATATCCATCCACATCCCATCCACAACTTGGTCTCTCTCGATCGATCACAAGAGATGGCTACCGGTCATGGCACCAGGAGACCGATTGACCGACGTCAGGTCAGACCCATTACATGGACCAGGGCTCCAAGCGGACCCATCCCCCATCTCGCTATCCTCGGCTTCTTCGACCGTTGATTCGACCGTTGATTCGACCGTTGACTCCGCGCTCCATCGCCTTCTTCGCCGCTTTCTCGGCGAGTGCCTTCGCCTTCTGCTCTAACCTCCAGCTGCGGCGGGTTCCAAGGACCATGAAAGCGGCTGGTTCCGGGGCGGAAACCGTGTTCCCGTCGCAAATGCGGCGGGACTTTTGGTCAGAACTTGCAGAACTGCTACTACTACAGTACCACATCACACTGAGCTGCATGGAAAACATCCCTTCACACTACCAACAAACCCTTCGGCGTGGGAAGCCAAGACTTCAGCCTCTCGGCGCTTCCGACTTCCTGACGTTGGACTCTTGGGACGGTGTTCACGGTGATTGACCCCCTCCCGCCAACTCTCATGGAACCTGAAAGTCGACCCGTGGTTTCGACCCTTTTCCTCTACAACCCGACGTGGTGACCTGGGGTTCCATGTTGATCCGCAGGGGAGACCGACCATTCCAATCTAGACATTGGATGACATTGGGAAGTCTCAAAGCCAATAGCACCCCGGCGAAGATTTTCCCGGCCCAAATGTCTGCAATATGCTTCTAGGTTGGAGGCCATCGCTATTAGGTCGGAGGCCATTTCTTCTAGGTTGGTGGTATCCCTATTAGATTGAATGAAACACATCTTGCAACACTGTTGGGTAATGCCATGAGACCCGGCCCTAAGACTAAGAGCAAGCTCCCTGGAAAAGGTTCAAGTGCTTTCGCGGCTTTTGGCCGTGGTTGAGGGAATCTGTCTTGGAATACACAAAAAGCCGAACTCCAAAGAGTGTGGCCCACAACTCCCTCAATCAAAGTGTTCATGGCAGAAGCTTTTCCACAAAACCTGTCAAACCCGGAATCAAGGGCCATCACTGCTATGATGAACATGTCTTCATGTGAGTCAGATTGACACCAGTGGACGGTGTGAAGGCCATGGTCTTCTCTTGACTCCCCAAACGACAGCGACCACAGCGACCAATGGCCTTTCCGCCAACTTCTTCTTCTCCCGGATTTCGATCTAGGGCGCCAAACGATGATAAACAGTCAGATCGAGTGGTGGGACAATGAACAACACCAAAGAGCTGCCATGGTATTCCGACAATCCATTCCAATCACTTATTGTTTGACTCCCCCTATTATATATCCCAAAACAGGACTTCGCCCAAAGACCCGCTTTACACCGGAGAACTCTTCGGATTCTTGGGAAAACCAACCGAGTCCCCGCTGTCTTCGTAGGAATGACCGTCTCTTCTTCGGTCGTCCGTGCAGCGTGGACGCAGATCCGGTGCTTTCTTCGGTCGTGTGAGTGAGTCGACCTGGTTCCTGCGAACCAAGGCGAAGCAGGAACAAGAAGCTATGAGAAACAATTCTAATTTAAAATAATGCTAATTTGTTACTAGTAAGGCACTTGTTCCTAGAAGCTTCTTGTTACAGGTCCAAGGAATCAGTGGCTGAAACCTCCGCATCCCTTGTGGTTGAAT